AAGTAAGTAAAATAAAGTAAAAATTTTATATTTTAAGGTATAATAATAAAATAAGTAAAAATAGCTTTAATAATAATATATATAAATAAAAAAAAGAAGGCAAGAAGTAAAAAACTAAATATTATAAATACTAAAACTATTAAGAATAAATAAAAAGGGGAGAAAAGCATTTTATTTAGTTAGTATATTACTTAAATTTAATTAGGCTATAAGTTCTTATAGTATATATAAGTATTTTTAAGTGGGATTTTATAAGCTAACTAATATAGTATATTAATACTAAGGTAAACTAAATATAAACCTATAATTAAATTAATATAAAAAAAACTTATTAATAAAACTAAGAAAAAAAAAAGTAATAATATTAAGCGCCTCCCTTTAAGCCTAATAAGAATTTTTATATAAAAGCTAAAATTAAAAATAAGTAATATAAGAGTGTATATTATTACGTGGTATATAAGTTATTTATTATTTAGCGCTTTAATATTAGAGTAAAAAGCTAGAATAAAAAGCTAAAATAATAGCAGGATAAGAAAACAAGAAAATAAAGAAAACAAGAAAAGTAGGTCTAAATAGGCGTTTTAGGTAAAAGTTAAGCAAGTTTATATTTTAGGTATAATATCCTATCTAATCTTATATAATAACCTAGTAAGCGCTGGATTAATAGTTAGGTTGGTGACGACCAGCGAATACCCAGTGTTATATGTCATCATTTTATTTTTTGCTTCACCTCACAAACTACCCAGGTAATCCCTCCCTCGCTAGACTCCTCGCACCATGTCGAAATATAGTGGCACATGTATTCCAAGAGTCTCAACTCTGGACCCCGTGATTTTTGCCTCTCCAAGTAGTTTTAGCCCAAGTACTCATAGTGGAAATGGCGCAAATGGCGCGAGTAGCCCTGCACCTGGCCCGGGTGCGAGTTTTGCGCAACTCAACGGGGAACATTGAAGACTCAGATATACGACAAATATGAGCATATCGTCGCTAAGTGCGACTATCCATGTTACACGCGGTAAGGCACTTGGCGTCAAGCGCTTCGTGAACATAAGGAGGCTTGCCCTCTAGTTGGGACTGGACCACATGCCAGAAACAAGTCGAGCTCGTCTGGACTCTGTGCCTTGATGGGAACGCTGGTGTAACTCAATTTTCCAATCCATATGCCTGTCTGGAACCCGAGACACTGCTGACCGCCCGCAAAGCCGTGGATGTTACGGTTGCCGTTCTTGATCCTCTATACCCGATGCAAAGACAAGAGTCAAGTTTGTGTTATCCTATAGTGCCAGAGCTATAGGCCGTACTGTCTAGAAGATGTAGTCTATCTCAAGGTCTCCCTGCCCAAGGCGCTAATATCTATCGGCAATTGCCTTGTAATCCCAACAATATAGGTTCTAGAGTGACGCAGTTTCCTCACTGGAATAAACGCCACGCCGCCAGTTGCGTATTCCAGTGGCGCACTGGTGGAGATAGTCTCCCATGACTGAACCAGGAAAAGGACGTGTATAGCCAGAGACATGATTCAAGAATGTGCTTCTATACGGCCTGCGTTACCCGATGATGATGGGGGGGAATAATCGGATGTGTTCTCAGCTTATACGTGCCAACCTGTTGGTTTCGGCGTCCCTTTGTGTAGACCTGGAAGACCCTGGGCCGAAGTTATGAAGCTGACTTTAGTTGTATTGAGCGTGGCACAATTTTATAGGTGGACTTGGTGTTTTCTCAGACTGGAGAGTTACACCCGACATGACTTCCCAAGTTCCCGTGCATAATAATCACAGCGGTCAATAAGAGAAGATGACAACTCACGTTGCAGTGAGGGGTAGCAGAACCGGCCAAGTCAATGTATACCGTAGCTACATGTCGGCATCAAGATGTCATCCAATTCGTCCACTTTGCTCTTGGGGTGACAAGCACCGGAAATGAGTGGCCTGGCGGGTTCCCACTCCAATGTTGGGTTAAAGACATGGACCAAAAGGCGCACTCTGTACAGGCTCTGTAGCCTGTAGCAAACCAGAAACCAGGAAGCTCAGGTAAGCTAATATATAGCATTTCTTCTTCTTGAACACCTATGTAGCCTATCAGTCTATTCGTTGGCGAATCTTTTGGCGCAGATATTTCCAATAAAAAGGTTATAATATATAGCCCCAGTGCCTAGTTTCTAGTTAAATATTACCCCGCTTACGCAGATCCTCAGGAAACTTCCTAAAATGGTAGTTTGGTCCATCTGATTTACTAGAGTTACATTGAACTTACCATTGGCAGATCTCGGCAAACTTCCGACGGTTAATCGGAACGATGCATTTGCCAGCTTCTGACTGACGGCATTAATGTTACTCACTTGGGTTGTTGCGAGCCCGACCTGCATGGCTGTGAGGACAATGGCCACGTAGACGGTCAAGTTGCACTAGCCAGCCAGGCAAAATTATCGCACAAGAAGACATATGAATTTCTGTATTGATCCTAGTAAGGCATGCATGTGTCACATAGACCATGACAGCGGCGGCCCAACGGCCTCCGAGCCGTCCCCAGGTGCCATGGGTTCAATGTCACTTTAAATAACACGTGCAATTCTTGATTGGACGTCACAATATGTATATGCCGTGTGCGGTTCGGAAGAGTGCCGCCATCATCTGGTGTATTGATAACTACAAGTCAGCCACGACGCCATGGTTGCCTTCTGCCTCTTATGGTTACGTCTGCTTTGGCGGCCTCTCTTCCTCGCCCGACTACATACGTACATTCTATAGGAGAGGGATTGCGAGAAGCCGCCTACCGCGAACGCTTGGGCTTCAGTGGCGCAGCAAGCCATGTTCCCTCGTCCCCCGTGAGACGTGCCGTCAAAGACACTACCGGATTTGGCCATGGATTTGGCCAGATCCCAGCCAACACGACCAGCCAAAAGACGTCGACCTGAGTACTTGGTCATAGGCGACAACTATGGAATGTCCACGTGTAACTGCTACACTTTCTACACAGACGGACCGGTGAACTAGACTTGAGCAGGCGTTGGACGTCGCGGCGGAACACAGAATTCTGTAAGCCAGAGAGGCCTCCAAGCTACGCCGAGGCCGTAAAACGCTCACAGGCTGCAGCAGTCCGACGTCAGGTTGAAGAGACATGGACCGGGTCGAGGCCTTCCAAGGTGACATCAGGGGTTCGAGAAGCTGCAGATACACGGATCGTATCTATGGCCAACCAGTGCGGTGTATTGGCAGCAGAAACTGTCTTCAATGCCTCAACCGGCGGTGTGGTTGCAGTTCCATCTACTCTGTACTCGATCATGTGTCCATGTTCTCCGCACTAGGTACATCGACATTACACATTAGCATGCGCACTGGCTAGATGAGTTATTCAAAGACCTCAAGTTTCTATAAAGGAGGTGATTATGTATACTTTAATTTACAAGTATACCATGGCTTATAGATCTTTTACAGGCCAACCAGGGTATCACGAGCGTTGAACCAAAAACGGCACGAATCAAGGACCTGGTTTCAGAAGCCCTCATGTCGCAGACCTAGATGGCTTCAATCCAAGCACTTTTCCACCCTCAGCATGACTCATGGCTCTTAATCACGATAACTACGCCCACACATTGATGCTGTCTGCCTTACGGCCCGATAAGAAATTCCCGACAAAGCTGCATGTGAGTGACATGATGCTACGCCATGGGCTTCAGGATTCACGGCACGGGGTGGCGTCATCACCGACACAGCCTCGTTCTGAAGCTTTATGTAACCACGTTGGCGGGATATAAAAGTTTGACACCACGTCGGGGAGACGGAATAGAATCTCTTGACCATTGATTCTTCCCCATCATTCCAATACTATATCGAGGCCCCCCTTTCACCTTCATCGTCAGCCATTCACAATGCCCGTCACGCTCACCATTGTCAATCATGCCGCCGAAAACTGGCGCTCCTCTAGAGTTGGCACTTCTGGGAAACTCCTCGAGTTGGTCAGTCCCAAGGAGCACCGGAGAACAAGCAGAGTCATTCAAAGCTCCTTTGATGGCCGTCTGCTCGGGGAAAATCACACGTCCTCGAGTCCCAACGGATTCGTGTGGGCAGCAATCAACGCATACAGCTCGCACCATCATCTGTGCATACGACCAGAAGACGTGTGGTTCGCCATTATAACCCAGGTCGGCTTCTACGTGAACGCCCACGCCGAGAGTCTTTGATCATGCTTCGTCGAGCACGAAGGGAAGAAGGAACTGATACTCGACGTGTGCGGCTCTACGGAAACGGTAGACTTTGGCGCTATCGCCGGCGCAATGACGCATTTGATGGCCAAGAACGTCAAGGACCCGGAGCTGCGCACCTGGGTTATGCCGTCCTTCTCCACGACGTCGCAAACCGACATTGCCGTTGCCTCTGTCTTGTTCATGGGGGCTATGCAAAAGTACTTCTCGTATACTATTCGCATGCTCTGCGGTATTCCGTCCGTAACACTCCTTGGTGAAGTCGCAGACTGGGAGGATATCCTTTCTAGGTTGGACAAGCTAGCGCAGCTGGGAGAAGAGCCAGGCCAATTTGCAGACATGTTGAAGCCGATCCTGCGAAACATGGTCCTCTCCTTCACAGAGCCGTCTAGTCCGGCCGTGATCCGATTCTGGAACAGCGTCGCGGATAAACACCAAATGAGCGGACTCTGTAGGTATTCTGGGTGGATCGCGGCCTTTTGTTTCTGGAACGAAAAGGGGGAAGCACAGCTATCGCGCAAGTGTCGCAACGGTACATGGCACGCCGTGATTGACTCGGAAAACATTCCAGCCGGGTTCTGCTCCGTGCCCGTCAAGGTCGACGACAACGGACATGAGTTTAACTGCACCATGATAGCCGGCTCCGTGGGGATCCAGGCCCGTTCCATCTATCCCTACATTGCCCGGGAGAGAAGGGCGGCGACTTGTTCTTGGGACGCAAAAATGCATGCTATCCAGCCGCTGTCAGGTTGGTGGATCTGCGAGAACGAGTCCGCTGAAGAAGCAGAGGCGCCTCAGACCGAGATCAAAGCTACTCGAGATGAGTTGATTGCCGTGGATAAGGCATGTGACACTAAATTGCAAAGGTCGGCTATCCATAAAGGACATAGGCATACGCCGAGCATGGCACGGCGGAGAGACTTGAGGATGCGTCTAAGTGAGTTGAGATATTAGTGTCAAGGTCAAGTCTATTTTGCTATTTAAGCCATCCTACCCTGCTTATATTCCAAGATGTAAATGAGGGATATAGTATTTTTCTAGTTTTCTAGGTTGACAAGGCAAAGATGGCAATTAGTACATGTAAGCTTTCTTTATAAATCCTTTTCCTGGCCTTTGTAGCTACTTGAACACGTCTAATAACGCCTGGCGCACTACTCTCCCGAGCCTCCAATAAGTCCAGGACTAGAAGTTTTAGTCCAAGGCAGTATAGGAGTAGCTGGTCAAGCTGGAGGAGACTGCCTTGGCTGGTTCCATGTATGTAAATTAATTAAAAAGGCTATATTACTAGCAAGCCTATTATTATATTAATCTACAAGAAATATCTTCCTGCCTACACCCGTAATAAAAAATAACCATGTAGAATCGGGCTTCTACGCCGGTAAACGGCAGCCGTGGAAGGATCTGGGCGGAGAGATTGCGCGTTTCCCTTCCGCCATTCATCTTGGACAGCGGCGTCCTCGTGTACGTGAAATGGGTGGGAGGCGACAAGGCCAAGAACAAAAGCGAGCCTGGGTGTCGTTGAAGAGTGCGAGTTGAGCGGCTCTCGCGCACGTATCGGTTGTCATTCTGCCGATAGTAGAGAAGAGACGGCTACGTCGGTGAGACTGTCGACTAGGCTGAGCTGCCGCTGCAGTATTGACACTTTCCCTTGTCCCGTACATGTAGGGACTTTGGTCAGTCTGACACCAAAAGAGAGAACCGACTGTACCTGCGTACACTCACTGGTCTGTCACAATCTGCCCTGATGCACGGAATGGAATTGAATCGGCCGGATAAAAAGATTGATTTGCATCCCTACAACCACGGCCACTATACATGACAAGACAAACACCATCCAAACTCCAAGTTTCTTCCCATACGCCCTGCGCAGCCTGCTAAAACAACGAGTTATCTCCGCACGGAAACACACCTCCTATCTTGTTCTCCTTGTCGTTGAAAATGTCAACCAGTTGCCGAATCGCTGCCCACAGCCCCACCCCGTTCATGAAGAGAGCCTGGACAATAAGCAAGGCATTCACAATGGCAAGGGGGATGTTCTTCCTGTGGAACTTTTCCTGCCAGTTGCGGTGGTACCAAAAGACGCCGCTGATGCCAAAGGTGAACCACGCGATAAACGTGGCCGACGCAATGGACAGGATCGAGTCGAAGATGGGAATCGCGTTGGCAATGACAAACGACACTGTCCAGAACAGGGTCGCGCACGCGATCCAGGTGCCCCATGACTTGACCGATCTGTCGGTAAGCTGGTGCGTCGACTTCATGGCCCGCATGGCCACGACGTAGAGGTACTTGATGGCCGTGTGGCCAAAGACGAGCCCCGTGGAGAGAATGGCCGGCAGGACGATGCCGTACGCGATCTTGGCCGGGATGGTGGGCGCGGATCCCAGCGCCGGCGAGGTCGTGTACTGGCCAGACAGGCAGTATATGACGACGGCCGTGATGAGGTACAGGGCGACGGAAAAGACCTGCAGGACCGTGAGGGCGGGGACGAAGTCTTTGCTCGGGTTCTTCATCTCGGCCATGTACGACACGAAGCCGACGTTTCCAGCGTATGCGTAGCACACCTTGAGAACGGCGTTGACGCCGTCGGTAAAGGACGGGTCGCCAACAATCTTGAGCGTCTTTTCGAACCCGGGCGGCGCATTCTGAGGCGGCGACATGCCGAGGCTGATGATGACGATGAGGACCGCCGCAATGATGCTGATGGTGGAGGGAAGGCCGACCTGGGCCACGAATTTGAACTTGCGAGGCAGGCACAGCAGCCAGCAGGCAATGGCCGCAATGCCGGCAAACCCCACGGTGCAAAGCCCGTGGTTGGAAATCGTGTTGAGCGCAATGGAGATGGTGATGGTGGCCGAGCCGCACGTGAAGCAGATCTTGATGAGGAGACAAATGCCGAAGACGACCTCGAATGGCACGCCGCCAATCACGCGCGCCATGTCAGCCATGTTGACAACATGGGGGTGTTTGCGGTAAAACTGGAGGAGTTCATAGGCAGTGTACCACGAGACGACGCCGAGCCCTATAATGGTGATGACGGCGGGGACGATGCCCAAGACGTCGAGAATCTTGGGAAGAGACAAAATGCCCAGGCCGACCTGGTTGGACGCGAGCACGAGAGCAGTGTCCCAGCGGCCCATGGTTCTGTAGTTTTTGCCGCCTTCGCTGAAGATGTTGGCCGCCTGCTCACCGTCGTCGACCAGGACGGCGTCGCGCGCCACCGAGGCATCTTCTTCGCGGGTGCTGCCCTTTTCCTTTTCGTTTTGATCATCGTACATCGGCTCCCGCGGCTCCTTTTCGCCTTTGAGGTTGAGAAACTTCATGCTTCTTTGCTGCTTGCTGTCCTGTCTGAAAATGTTGGTCCAACAATGCTCCCCACGACCGAGGACGCTTTACTGCCTTGCGTGAACCGAGTGGCAAGCCAAACACAATCAGAGCAATGATGGAGACGAGCTTCTTGACACAGACGGATAAAAGAAGGAGAAAGTTGGCAGGAAGCGAGGAGCAGAAGAGGGCAAGAAGTAGAGCCTTCTATAGTCGGGTTCAAAAGATTTAGCTCTGCATTGGCGAAAAACGTGTCCATCTAGTCCCGTGGGGAAGACACGAATTAGACCCTGAGAATGTGGATCGCCCGTCTGCTATCAGCGAGAATGTCAGCCAATTTCAGCAGTATGTTTCCAGCAAGTGGCTGTCTTCTGCCCGGAGCCGCAGTTTCGGCCTTTGGCCGTCGGGTTTCTCCAGATCAGCCAAGAAACAGCAACACAAACGGAATGCAAGTCGCCTTCCAGATAGGGGTCCCCTGGCCACCAACCCCTCCTTTTCTCTTCCTCCTCCCCCATTGTGAAAGCTTCTCTCTCTTGCTGGGTACCCCCGTACCTGGTTCCGTGGGGTTAGCAAGCGAGGCAACGGTCACGTTTAGTGCAAGTCCATCCCGTGGTGCAAAACGTTTGAGCCATCATAAGCTCAGTCAAGTGGAGATGGGTGGAACTGTAACTGGAACTGACATTAGTACTCTAATAATTTTATAGTTCCACTTGACATGTTTGGCTCAAGTACCAACAATGATTGAAAATTCCGATGCAAGAAGCTGGCCAAGATGCCACTGTCGTCCACCCCGGTTCCCAGGCACGCTGGTGGCAGACGACATGGGACACGCACCGCTCACTTAGACAGGCAGAGCGTCCCATGGTTTCTGTTATATCCCCTTGCCAGGTAAGTGTCGTGTCATATATGGATGTCTGCCCCCCGTCGCGCAGTTCTCTCCGGGCACAGTTTGACGCTGGATAGTGAGAACCTCCGTAGTCCGCATTTGATGAATATAGTAGGACATTTTATTCCCTCTTGGGCCTCTTGACCGCCATGCCGAACCCATTAGCTTCGAAAGATTGCCGCCGCTATGCTTATTTCAGGGTGGTGTTGGCGGATCCCGACGCCTCCATCTCAGTTTGACGTTTGTAGTACGTACGTATGGAGTAATGGCGCGGCCAAGGACTTTGCTACTACAAATGCACCTGGTCCTTCAGGGTTTTCCGCTGTATGCTGGTGGGTCGATGCTGGTCCAAAATTTCCATGCCCGGCCCTTATCTTGGTATCCCTCACGGCAAATGGGTGCGAGTCAAGGTTTCAAACATTGTTTTCAGCGTTTAGCCCGGCACGCGCATAAGCATTACCGAGCCAGGTGTGGCGATTGAAAAGCGCACAATGCTAGGCCTGTGAGTCTGGGGGAATTCAGCCATCAAGGAAATAGAAATCGAAGCTTTTCCATTGCATGGTAAAGGTCTGTGGTCGTCTGCCAAGCCCATCTCCACCTCGTCGCTACCTTGAGCTGATTCATGTCATGTGCTCTGGCCCAGTGGAGCGGTAACATGTCAAAGAACAGATGTCGTCAACGTCGGAGGCCGTCGGGGATCATCACAGCTGCACCAAACAGTTAGTAATTACATACTACTGTTGTCTCCCCGCATCTCTACCGCCTTTGAACAGGCCAAAATATGGGTGGATAATATCTCACCCACAGTTCGTGGAGCGCGTAATCGCTACCCCTTGGCGAGACTTTGTTCGTCGTACGTAATACCTCTATTGACTTGGACAAACTCTTTGCCACGATTCGTTTGCCCACAATTCACACGAACGCGTATCCACGTCATTTCGTCCAGTTGTACCGTCTAGAGGATCCTGGATCGGCTTCGGGTGTTGTCCATCAAGGTAGAATTCCTTGCTGTATTACGGTGGCCCTCAAAATGTACGATACGCACCTGTCACGTCCTTTGCGTCCGTACGGAGACGGGGCGAAAAGGAAAGGAAAGATTTCGCCGAGCTTCTCCTTTCGGCTTGCCTCAGTACCGCAGCGAAATGAAAAAACCAGCCGTCGAAATTGGATGCTAGGTGACTTGTTTCTTGAAACCGCATTGCATAGATCGATTTGTCCTGGAGCGTGTTCGAACTTGACACAATCCTCATCTCTTTTATTGACTGGATCGGAAGCGATGGCGCAGCGATAGAATTCGAGCGACGGCAGAACTAGAAGCCAAAATAGCGCTATCAGACAACGAACCCCATACTCGTCTTCCGTACACTATGGCAATTAGCATGTACCACTTGATGGCAAATATAGAGGACATTCGGCGTTAACTTTTTCAACCTTGGGTAGGCAGCACGACAACTTCAGCTTCGTGCTGATGCCCTGCTATCCGCAGAGACTGTATCGCTCCATGAGCAAGTTTGCGATCTTGGCGATTTTCAAGCCTTGGATAGCGTCCTTGACTCGAATACTGGCTCATCTTCAACGAATTTGTCGGAGCGGGTTGTAAACCTGGACACTGCCCAGCGTTATCTTGGTCAAATTGCAGCGTTGTTGTTGTTGATGTTGTTGTTTCGTATGTGCTGTCAAACGCACATTAAAGCGGGCTCGAAAGAAGAAACAAGAATCCCACAAGGGTTCAGGCCAAGATCCTCTTCTGCAAGTACCAACCGCAGGTTTGACAGGCCACAACTTTCATCCTCTTGTTCCTGTGTCTAGCCCCCGCCAGGAGTCAAAACTTCCTCGTCCAGTTCGCCATGTCGAGACAAAAGTATTCCCCTCTGTCGTAATCGAACCTATGTTAGCTCAACATACTTGGTGCATACAAAGGCCCCAGGCACGCGTGAGACCGCAGCCTCAATCGTCATCCAGCCCATCAACCACCTTTGCTCTAGCATTGTGACACCTCAATAATATCTCACAATTCTGTTTCTCAAAATTTTATGGGTTGTCAAATGTCTTTTTTTTTCTGTTCCTTCCCCAACAGTATATGTACAAGTATCTCCCTCTGGCTTAGTTTGTTCGCTCGCCGCCTTTCGTCTCCCGCAGCTCGTCCATCTTGGCCACTCGCTTCTTGAACTCGACGTACTGGCACTTTTCGTAGCTATGCCTCTCGTCCTGTGCGTTGGAGTTAGCAAACCCCGTGGCTCCAGAGCCCAAGCATCTCGCTTCGCCGCGAATCGGCAGAGACCTACAGAGCACTTCCATGGCGCATACCATGTCTCTTTTCGGCACTTGTTCAGCGGGATTAGGAGATGAGCGCAGCTGTCTCTGTAGGCTAGTGGGAGTCGGGCATCTCGCATCTCCTCGCGGGTGGCGGCTGAGAAGGCCAGTTAGTAATCTCGCCCAGGTAGTAATTGTGCGGCTGGATGAAAAAGGTGAGCAAGCAACATACCCCGCGTCTCTGTGGCTGCGTCGGAAGCCATTTTTTGTGATTCAATTGGCTTTGCAAGATGTCGTTGTTGGAGTGCTTGTGTCCTCGGTCGGCTGAAGACGGGCCTCAAGTGCTGGTGTTGAAAAATGTGGCCATATATCTCAGGCAACAAACTCGGCGCTTGCCTCCACAGCCTAGTACCAACCTGCGTCCTGCAGTGTCTCGACGGCTTCGTTATTTTGGTAGCATCAAATGCATGAATGAGCAAACCGGACGCATCTAGCCGTATTGTAGACCAAATTTGAACTCAATATACTAGTATTTGGGCTTATGTAAATGCTACAACATGTCCAGCGCTGTGGGTTTAATAGCACCTGTCTTGCTCACATAGACCAATGCTGGGAATACTACGTAGCCAAGTCGACACCAGGTCCACTGAGACTTTGTAATCCGGGAATTGGGATTTGCTGGCAGCGTGTCCGGCAGACTGGAGTTGACTGGGTCAGCTACAGCGACTGGAACATTGTCAGCAGCAAGGGGTGTTTGGCCTGACGAAAAGATCTGCTTAGCGTTGGGCTATATTCACGCAAAGGTACGTATGAGATGGAAGTGCCTATGTCCAAGACAGCAGAGGCATCGAGTGCCAAAATGGAACATTGGAAGCAAAGACCACGAGTCCTCAGCCTGGAGGACAACTCATGGCCATGATTCGCAAACACCTTGGCGCAAAGGATTCACCAACCAGATCGACGTCATTCCCAAAAGTCCATTGGCCCTAAACGCGCCAAAAACGACCCCCGGCCCGTGAATCTGCCACGCGCGCTGCCCGCCTGCCATTCACGCACCCACACTGCTACACATCACATTCATAACCGTCAAGTCGACCTTGACGCCTAACCGCGGACTGTTCGACGCGGTCGGCGCGTAGAGAAAACCTGCGCGCCATGTCTGCAGCGCGCCTCCAGAGTGTCCCTGGCAGCACCCTAGCGTTGTCCTACGCAACCGTCTCAGTCGCGTCTGGTAGATGCATGGACCCTTGTCCACTGCCGCCATTGACACCATCTTATAAAGCAGCCGCATCTCGAACCGTCTTGCAGTGTTATTTTAATATTGTATAGTCTTGTATATTACTGTGCGAAACCGAAACCGCGTGTCTTTAACAGCTGCCGCCTTTCTTGTCGTTTTCAATCTCCATCTGACAACTCCCAGTCAAGCCACTCTCTTCATCTGCTCCTCGTTTGCACATTGTATAATACGCTTAATCAACCAACATTCCCACCCTCCTCTTCTTCCTTTCTTTTCAACATATACTTGTAATACAATCACCCACCTCGGCCACAATGAGCAACAGCAGCAACCCCCGAGACATCATCGCCTGGCTGGTCCCCACGGCACGCGGCACAAGCGCCGACAAGGCAACACACCTCCCTGCCAACACGGCCCGAACCATAGACATATCCGCCTCCTCGCCCAGCCACCTGTCCTCGAAGCTGTCCCATCCGCCGGGATGCGCGCCCCAGAGAGCCATCCAGCTGCGCTTTAGCCAGGAGCCCCTTCGACGGGGGCGCTTCGTGCTCGGCACCGACGCCAACCGCTGCGACGTGCTCCTCCCCCCGGCGCCCGGCATCTCCGCGCAGCACTGCTCCATCGGCTTCGACGCCGAGTCGAGGCTGGTGCTGGACGACTTCTCCGAGGCCGGCACCCAGGTCTGGTACGACTGGGCGTGCAGCGGCGACCAGAGAGGCCACTCGTGGATCCTGGGCCGCGGGGAACAGCGCGTCGTCATTGACGTCCAGGGCGTGCGCTTCCGGCTCGTCGTCAATGACCGCTCGGCCGACTGGGACGCGTACAGGGCAGACGTGGATGCGTTTTGCCGGCAGCCGAGCCGTGAGGCCGTCCCGTCGCTCTACGTCCAGCCGCTCATCCGGCACATCTTTGTCAAGGGCCTCGGCGGCGAGCACACGGGCGACGTGTACCTCTGGGACTTGTCGAGGCCGTGGGAACCAATGGTCAAAGCATCTGCATGAACCTTTGTGCTTTGTTCCCATTGCATTTTCAACACCCTTTGTTTTGGTTTTCCTTTGTTTTGATATGAGCGAGCCTCGGACGCATTCAGATTGTCGGTTTAGCAAGGAGTTGGTGTATTTGGCTGATTAAAACATGATGCTCGGTTCAATTCTCTTTATAAGTGAATATATTGGGTCGACGGGATGAATGAAATTTACAAAACGCTTCTCAAATGTCACAAAACTCCATTTCGTAGCCTGCACTCACGATTGCCACAACAATGGACGGGAAAGAAAGAAAAAAAGGTAGCCACAATATGTGCAAAACGCAGGTCCGCCATTGTTGATGTTTGTTGTCATGTTTCTGTTTGTTTGGAACGCCCGCTCGGCTATGACTCCTTCGTAGTTTCACCACCAGTCTCTGCTTCTGCTTGTTGACCGTCCTTGTCAACCTCCACATCAACAAACCGCGTCATGCTAAAGTCGGGTGCTCGTCGCCGTTCGATTCCGCGACCGCCCTTCTTGTACCGTCTCATTTGCGCGGTGCGCGCCTCTTCCTTGACCAGCTTCTTTTCACTGTCCTTGTCCAGCATGGTGCCCTCCAGACTCAGATAGCTCGTCTCCCCGCTCGTTCCGGCGTCAAAGTTGCGTATTCTGAATCGAACCCTGCCTTTGACCCTGTCTCCATTACCGTCGACCCAGAACCCAGTGCTGTGGATCTGGCGGACCACGCCATGGTCGTCTGCCGTGATGACAGAGGCCGTCTCCTCAAATCCGTGCGCCTCTGGGGATTCGTTGGATACCCATTTCCAAGCCGGCGGCAGTCGTCTGGCTTCGACAGATGCGTTGAACTTGCCATAACAAACCACGCCAATGTGTCCTTCAGTCTGCAGGTTGACACTGCCCTCCATCCAGGCGCCCCTGCTGGGAACGAAGAGCTCAACATCGGCCGTGATCCAACCGAAACCAACGGCGTATTCGTTCTGCGACACCACAGTCGTTGGCGTCTCGTCATCCGTAGCAGCACCGTCACGGCCGGGCCTGGGTCCCAATGCGACGTTTTTGTAGTTGAGCAAGACACCCCGGAGTGAGGGAACGTATTTGTTCTGGAGGTGTTGCAGGTGCTGGTATTGGCAGCTGGTTATGGGTTGAGCCCAGCCGTTAGGGTATAAGGGCTCGTACAGCGAGACAGTTTGTTCAAAGAAGGGAAACTGCGGGTCGGCTGGAATATCCGGTGGCTGATATACCGAAGCTGACGGCTTGTCGATGTCCATGGCATCCGTGTCCTCAGATTCGGTGAGTTGCGTACTTGGCTTTGGCTTCTTTGAAATGACAGTCTCCACAGCCTCATCAGCGACCTCGGCATGTTTCTTCTTCTTTTTCTTGTCTTTCTTTTCGGGTTTCAGTTCGTCATCACCCAATTCGGCCTTTACCTCGGCATGCGTGAGTGTTTCGGTCTGTTCCTTGTGGTGCTTCTTCTTTTTCTTTTCAGCCTTGTGTTTGTGCGCTTCCTCTGCCTCTTCACCGGCATCATGTCGGTGCTTATTCTTCTTTTCCTTCTTCTTCTTTTTGTCCTTGTTCACATCCTGGCCATGGATGTCGTTGTTTTGTGCAATGGCATCTGCAGTGATGCTCTTTGATCTCTTGTGCTTTCTCTCGCCCTCAACTAGCGCGACCTCTTCCTCGCGAGCACGCTTCTTTTCCTTCTTGGTTTTCTTCTCGTGCTTTGGGGTCGCCGGCTCGGGCGATGCAGCTGTGGACATTTTGACCGAAGCGCAGCGTTATTGAGGCTGCTGGAGTGAGCTTGAATGGCTTGGTGGCCAGCATTTCTTGGTGTACCAGAAATTTTTTTTGGAGCAAGCTGCTTATCGATTATCGCAATCAGCCCGTCCTCACCGCGAAGGTGGGGCACCACCTTAGATAGCAAGCAACATTGAACCCGCAGCTCAAGGGCTCTGCCAAGACATCAGGCATGAGGGCGAATTTCATGCAGGACCACTGCACCTAATTGTTGTATCTTTGACAGTTTTTTTTAAACATTGAACCCTTTAAGTAAAGTCACAAATAAATATAAAGCCCAAGGCCCTTTGCGTGCTATGCAGCGCTACGCCGCGACAGGTAGATGATTTTTTAAAGATTTCGGAGTTACGCTGGACTCTAGAATTTGCCTCTGGTAATGACAGACTCGGCAGGCCGGATCCCAAGACCATCATCCAAAGTTACTGCCATCAGTTCTCAGTTCTGGTACTACTATGTGACTTTGCAATAATAAAGCACCAGTTGACCTTGTAGGGAGGTGCTCAAGTACTAGCTTCGTCGGGAGAAGGGTCCGTCACCAACAGCACCACCTGTCATCGTGAAGTGAAACGACCACGCTTACGCTTCCCCGCACAACCATGTTTCAACATCTTGTCCCCCCTCCAAAGACCTGTCATCCGTTCATCCCATCGCAAACCCATTACTTGTCGAGTAAAAAGGCCCGAGCAACCCCTCGACATTAGACTCGGCTACTTGGAATTTTCTGACCATCACAAGTGCAACGTCGCCTTGTTGGGTTGCCCATCCAATCGCTACCCTACAGCATGTACTAACCATCCCCGAAGGAAGCGCAGGATGGTACCCAAGCTCAGGGGAGTCGCTGTTCGTCCCCAGACTGATCTGCTCGGTCTTCGGGATGGGGATGGACTGTGCTTACCATGGCTGCCACCATGGCACTGGGCAGGCCAGCACGCCGGCTTGGATAGGCCACGGAGATGCCCATGAACCTCTGGGCCGCCGGCTCCAAGATCAACTGGACGGACAACTTGTCCGTGCTTATCGCAGCTTCTTCGTCGATCCGGCTAGGGTTCGCCGAGGGCCCAAGAGGAGACTCTCAAGACGGAGTCTAGACACACGGACATTGCCAGGGTTTTTCTTCCTTTGCACTATCCAGTCACATCGCAACTGATGGGACAAAAACTCTGCGTTCCTGCGTTGTCAACGCCATGTCAACGGGGTGGAGGAATCCATGCACATGGAAACTTCCCGCTCAGACCCCTGGCTGTTGTTCGAATCGGCTTCTTTCGCTCCTACAGGCAGGCTGACGATGGATTCTCGCGACGGAGTGCACGGAGGATAGCTCCGGATAACCCGTGCCTGTCAACCCATCAAGCTTGCAAAGTTGTTCCCCCCGAACGGGGATCTTCCTGAGGTCCACCACAATAGACTTTCGATGTTTCAGAAGGCTGATTGGCAGGCGGCGTGGAGAGGCAGATAATTGCGCATTCTCCCTCATCTTTCTTGGCTACGGCTCAGTGACTTAGTCCAACCAAAATTGGAAGTTGGCGATGCGTGGCATACACCGGTTCCTGAGGGATATTCTTTCCGGCATGGGGATGAATGAGATCCATGGAAGAAACGGGAGAAACAAAGAAACCTCTTCACTAATACCGAAGAAACTTCTCCACATGCTGAAAGCGATTGGACACCCGGGGCGAGTCATCCTTTTGCTTTGAATCGTGTGCCCACTCAAAGTGCAATGGTGCTGAACCTAGCCGCCATCAAAAGAAGTTCTCCGCCTTGGAAACAGGCAAGCCAATTAATTGTTCACCACAATCACGCTGCGCTGACAAAACCAACAGGAGAAAGGGAACGGACCAAAAAAAAAAAGCAACGCATTACAGTCAAAGTGGGTGATTGGTTGTCTGCGGTTTGACACTAGCCATGTCGTCCCAACTTTAGTCAAGGTTTTCCGCCATGCCAACTACATGATTCTTCAACAACTCCGTCTCGCCCGCTTTTCTCTCAGCTTTTCAAAGTCTATGTGTGAATTGACAACGCCTCCGATTCGGTTCGAAATGCTTGAGCAAGTACTTGTATGTACTACTATATTACAAACAAAACAATGTCATGCATGACGCAGCTGGCTAGTATTTGGCCATGTTGCATGAACTAACATCCTCAATATATTGTTTTCTGAGCAGGCTGACCGGGACTTGCGACATCCATCCACGGCAAAAGCAGTACAGTAGGGGCGGCTTCAGGAACACACTGCGTAATGGCTGCATTGTTCCTGCAGCCCACGCTCATCACCCGACGCCTCCTCGTTGCAGGATACAGTCTTGGCTGCACCTCAAAAGGCACAACGTGGTCCATGCCGCTCCCCCTCCCCCCCTTACACAGAGGGTGCCTGACCTAAGCGCATGGCGGGTTCAGACTAGGAACGCCATGCCCTATTAAAACACTCCACGAACGCGCCACCAACAGAGTCATTGCGTTTCCACAGGCTCGATGCTGCGTGTGGATTTCAGACGGCGTGCGTGGCCCAGGAACGACGCATTGTCCTCAGCCGGGGAGGACCTTATTCAGACAAGAAAACTGTGGCAATAGACTCGAGTGTGTGTGGAGGAGTGGAATAGCGGATCAAGGACTTGATAACTACCAAGGGATTCCTAATCAACGCGTGTATATCGAGGAAAACCCCTCGCAATGTCGCAACTTCATAGGATGGCTCAATAACCGTCCCATCGGCTCAGGCCCCGGCAATGATCGTGGTACTTGTTCTTCACGACTCAGATAGGCAGAGTACAAGGTCATTCTCTCCCGTTTTACAAGGAATTTACTTAGGCCAAGCCCAAGGACGGCTATCCGCCGCCAGAGGTATAAGAATGGCATCGATCCCCCCAGAGTCTCGAACTTGAAATAAGCCAACATTACCTACTACAGATTCTTTGACAGGTTCAAGACATTCCTTTCTTGAATTTTTTATACATTCCTTGAAGTCCCAACCCTGGTGGTTTATATACATTTACACTTCACAACTGCACATATACACAAGATCACAAGATCACAAATCACGTTCCCTTTTTTGATACAAGAAACACAAGAACAATCTGTCAAAATGATCTCTTCAATCGCTACCGTCATCGTCGCCTCGGCTGCCGCCGTCTCTGCTGGTGTCATCCCCAAGCGTGGCCAGGGGATCAGCGTCACCCCCCATGATCAGTACTCTTCGTCCATCGGTGTGATTGGAGGCAAGATCAACACCAACCGTGTTGCCTACTGGCCCGAAGCAATCACCTGCGACAACATCTGCGTCAAGGTGTCTTACGAGGGCCGCAGCCTCAACCTCCTCAAGATTGACCAGTCTGGTGGTGCCCACGACATCTCGTACGATGCCTGGAACTACCTTGCCTTTGGCAAGTCTGCCACGGACAGCCCTCAGATGGGAGGCGGCATCGCTATGGAATATGAGACAGTCTCTGTTGACGAGTGCGCGGACCTCCTCACAGACGGCAAATTGCCTCTCTCTGCCGCCAACAGCATGGGCTATGTCGGTGCTTGCATCGGGGAGCCAAACAGCTGGGTTGCCAAGAATTACGAGCTTGTCAACATCCTTGACCCCGTTGGCAAAAATGGCTGGAACGAGATTTGCACTCTCGACTTGACAGTTAGCAACCAGCCAAAGTGCCCTCACACCCTTGGTGAACAACACTCTCCCACTGGCCTCGAAGTCGTCAACATTCAGTACGGCACTGGCAAGCAGGTTACTGTTTAAGGTGTTAGGAAGGAAACAAGAATTATAGACCACTTTTATATTGTACATGTATATATTTTTTTCTAGAATCCAGTAACATGTAGTACACATGACTCCCCAAGGGAAAACCTGGAAACGGTCAAAAGACTGGGGCAAAAGCAAAATTCATTACCTGCATATCAATCATGATTCGATCCCGCACCTCTGTGAAACACTGTGATGTGATGGGAAATCAATGTCGATGAGGCCGTTTCAGAGGCGGCAAGGATACTGCCAGGGCCTGGCCGAAACAGAATTGTCGTTCGTCGCATGATACAATAACGATGCTCTTGCATGAATCAGCAATCAAACGGGTTGGATAAAGACAGATTGCAGGTAGCGCAATACGATAAAGCCCTGTGCTCCCGCGCGCGCGAGATGTCATGCGTGCGTGAGAGTTCAATGTTTGTAATGAAGTGAGTGAGTGCCGCACAAGGGATTTCCAATGGATGACATAAGACGGAGCAGATTGTTCGACAACGATGCCGGCCCACAGTTTTCTGCATGGCGCATTTCCATTTGACCATTTTCGCCGAGGTCGAATCATAGATCCAGGGCTCTGACTAATTGAGCCGACCCAGCCTCCGTTGAAGGCGCTCACTTTGCCGTCGACAACCACGAGGCACCAAGCAAGACATAATTAAGCTCGCCTCTCCCTACTTGTGCGATTGTGAGTCAATCCAGCAGAGCGACAAGACGACAAGAAACGCAGCTCCCAAGGCTCCGCGCCCGGCCGAGTCCCATACGCCCGTTGCCGACAATGCCGTCGTCCAACACGCCGCCCGAGTTCGGCGAGACCAGCCATCTCCCGTCGTTTTACTCACCGCGCTCAACGCCCGTCGATGCAGCTGCGTCCAGCGGCCACCATCAAGACGCCCACCAAGATGTAGACGAACTCTCGCTCTCACAACAGGGTTCCCAAGATGCCGCCACCACGCCGCAATCGCAATCGCAATCGCAACCACCCCCGCCGTCGTTGCTGTCCCCCGCCTTCACCCCGCCGCAGACTCCTGGAACGCAAACGCCCACGAGAGCCGGACCGCGCGGCGTCCCGGTAGACAGCTCAATCCCCGACGGCGGATGCGGCAACAAAAGGCCAAGGCTGCTGCAGACGCTGCCCGAGGTGCAATGCATTGTCCGCGCGCGCATCCCCACCGTCACGGGCACAGAAATGTTCCTCCACCTGTACACCAACAACGTCGACAACAAGGAGCACCTGGCCATTGTGTTTGGCAACCACATCCGAAGCCAGAGCCTCGACGCCCCCCGCGAGGGAGAGACCGAGATGGACAGGATGATCCGCGGCGCCTACACGGGTAGGCTGTTCCCCGGCCGGACAACCAGCGGCATGGACGCCGGCCAAGCAGCGCCCGCCACGCCCGGGCAGGGTTCGCAGCCGCCCCTGGTGCGCATCCATTCCGAGTGCTACACGGGCGAGACCGCCTGGTCGGCGCGCTGCGACTGCGGCGAGCAGCTCGACGAGGCGGCCCGGCTGATGGGCATGCCCGGCAACGCCTCTGGCGGCATCATCATCTACCTCCGCCAAGAGGGGCGGGGCATCGGGCTGGGCGAGAAGCTCAAGGCGTACAACCTGCAGGACCTGGGGTCCGACACGGTCGAGGCGAACCTGCTGCTGAGACACCCCGCCGACGCGAGGAGCTACGGCCTGGCCACGGCCATGCTGCTGGACTTGGGGCAGCACGACGTGCGTCTGCTGACCAACAACCCTGACAAGATTCGGGCCGTCGAGGGCCCCAACAGGGAGGTTATTGTCAAGGAGAGGGTGGCCATGGTGCCGCTGTCCTGGAAGGGCAAGGGCGGCTTCAGGAGCCAGGAGGTGGAGGGCTATCTCAAGACAAAGGTATGTTTTTTTTCTGGATGCCGGGGTGCTTCTCATGTCATCTCGTGTTGCTAGCGGATCGTTGACTGATGACTTTGTAGATTGAAAAGATGGGCCACATGCTGGACAGGGATCGGCCCACGTAGAACGAGACAAAAGAACAATCTTGGGCAAGGAAGTCTGGTTTTTTACGCGCATTACGGAGTTGGGTTGCCGGAGGCTGGCATGTTTGAACACTGATAGCGAATATTTGCATAACATGTAAATTACATGACAATTCTCCAAAATCATGGATGAGTCTTGAATGGGTCTTTTCCCGGACGAGATATTGTCTGGTGGGATGGATTTCCAACCGCATGTCTTGTCTGCCGTCTACCCACGCACCCAGCCTCCAGCTATGGAGTACCTTGAGCTGAAGTCTGGTGTGACACTGTGACGTCCTTCTGGGCCCACAATAATTTTCGACCACCCCAAATAGTCCCTTGGTGCCTGACGTTTTGCTCACTTCTTTCGAACCGCTCGACAACACGGACTGTGAATTTCCATCCCTCACCTGTGGTTGCTCGTCAGCCTCTGCTCGCCCCGCTCGAATAGCTTCTTTCGACTCTTTCATGCAACCATGCCGCGATAGAACATGTCAGCCCAAGATATCCGACTGCGCCTCGCCATTCGGCGACACGGCGTGCCGGAGATCAAGCTCGTCTGGCCGTGTGCTTGCTCCTCAGACACGACCATTGCCAAACTGCTGACCCAGGTCAACGAGGTGGTGCCATTGGAGAGCAGCGAATGGGGGCTAGAGGACTATGCGGTCGAGCTTTTAGATGACAAGGGAGGGAGCTACGAGTGTCTGCATTTCCAGCTGGTTCCGCAGATTTTGAAGGATGAGGACCATGTAGTGTGCGTTTCTCAGGCTAAACTACCATTGAATTCCGGATTAAGCTGACATGACACATGTAGAATCCGGTCCCTTTTGTCAGACGACATCCGAAGACGCCGGCTCAGCGGACGGCATCAGATTTCAACAGACGGCAAGCATCTTGTCGATGGGCTGGCATTTGGGCGACCGTGGCTGCGAACACCTCGCGATCGGCCGGCTTTTGAGCTGCCTCCCCGTAAAAGAGCGCGAATTGAACACCAGGACATGGCTGAGCAGGAGCAGGAGCCAGAGCAGTTGCTCCTAGAAGGGCCGCCTCGACCTGACGAAGCTCACGACGGTCGTCTGCAATCCATCTTGGTCAACGGGGGTGGAGATCTTGACGACTCGGAGGACCAAGATGATGAATTTGAACCTGATCAGGACACTGAGCAGAGTGTGTCTGGGGATGGTGAAGACGATGTTGGCGTCGACTATTCGCCAGGGGCGTTGGTTGAGGAGCTTCGGCTTCTAGACGAAGACGAAGACAGTGGTAACAACCAGTCGGCTTCCAACGAACCCACTTTGGAACAGCTAGGTGTGCTTCGGATGGCATTCCCTCTTTTATCGTTCTCGATAATCGAAAAGGAGCTTTTTCGACAAAAGCAAAACTTGAGGAAGACATATGATACGCTACTAAGGTCGACTGCCCCAAGCCTTAGCTTTGACGATATGATGGATCGGATGGTTACAGGGCTCTTGGAGCAGCATGAATCCTCGCCCGTGCAGCCCGTAATGCCCTCTCTCTTTCGTCATTCACGACCAGCTTCGAAGCCTCTTATTGAGGAAGTAGACAGCAATGGCTCCGATACGTCAACTTCAGGGTCAAGCTACGACGGTAGTTCTGATCCCGCCGACGACGAGCATGACGAGGGCGATTCGGGCTATGAGGACACCAGTGACTCTCCGGATGAGAGCTCGGACGGCGATAGTGACGATTCATCCGATGACAGTTCAAGTGATTCAGACGAATCCGAATCCGAGCCCCAGCCTGGGTCTAAGCCTGTACCAGAGGCTCCGCGGCCTCAGGAGGCATTGGTCAAAAGTGAGGGAACCGCGCCTCACGAAGGCCTCTCAAGAACACAAAAACGCAATGCTCGACGGAAACGGGCCAGGCTCTTGGGTCGGCAAGAGGAGGTTGGGACGCCAGGATTTGACGACGCAGAGCTTCTGGCTCGGAAGGAGGCTTTGTTGGGCGCCCTGTCCGAGGATGCTTCCCTGGAGACCACAAGTGAGCCGATCTTGGCCAACGGCAAATCGACACAGACACCAGAAAACCCTCGCAGCGAGACGTTACCCGACAGTAACGATTCGGCAGGACGGCGTGCTCGAGTGGACATGGGGGCGGGGAGAAGAATGCTATTTGGGGCGTTGGGGCTCAAGAACCCCAAGTCCAAAGCCGACGAAGAGCGCATCAGGGAGGGGCTTCTGAAGGAAGTCAAGGTTTTGCATAATCCCAGAATCGTCCAAGTTGTCGATAGCGAAGACACGGAGAAACCTAGCGAGGACAACGCCAACCCTGACGCATGGCAATCCAAGATTACGTATCGGGCGGTGGAATGTTGCCACGAGGGCATGGTGCTGTCGGAGCCTCCATTCCCCTTTGTTCAACGATGGGACCCCCAACAACAATACGGATCCATGCGCAAACGAAAGCGGGAATCTCAAGCTTACTATGACGACTCTTATGCCGAGGAAGGCTCGGGCGTGTTTGAAGAGGAGGCAGACGCAATCGACGCAAAAAGCAACTCAAAAACGAAGCAGCCCGCAAGACGTCGGGATCCGTTTGGCACCCATGTGAATGGGGTGGAAGAGGCTCCTACCAATGGCGATGGCGTCGGTGATGTGGAAGTTGAAGATCTGCCCGCATTGCCCGAAGATATAGGCAGCCTTGCCACGCTGGAGAAGGGCGGCGCCAAGGAAGGGATGGTGATTACGTGGAAGCAGTGCATCATGTCGAAAGCAACACAGTGGCAGCCCGTGATTGCTTCCGTCACCGGAGAGGTCCTCCCCGGGGGTACCGAGTCTAGTCTGGAAGTACGACTGGCGTTTAGGGATCGTGAGCTCAAGGAGAAGGTTTTCGATGAGAAGGGCCAGCGGGTATATGATAAGTTTGAGGTGCCTGATTTTGAAGAGGACGAAGAAGAGGCGGATGACGGACACCGGACTATTGGCTGGGGCGAGATGATTGAGCCCAAGATTCTTCAGGCCACGTCGCCGCGTACGGAGGGAGCGCGGGATGAATGATTTCCGTCACTGACGGTCACCTTGGATTGGAGTGCTCCGGCATTACATTACATTTTGGCGTTGGGGGCCTGCCAGATACCACGTGTATAATAGGGCTACAGGTGTTGGTAAACAGTGTACATGCATTATTTGTAAATTCGTATCGCAGACAAGGCGTGTCAGCCACGAGATTCATTTAACAATAGTCGCGAGCAGTCTATCCTCAGAATCTGGCTACATAGCGCGAGTGGTTGGTGGTTCACGCTTGAACGGGAGGACTCAGGCTTGGCGTGCCAAAGTTGGGTAGTGCGTGACGGATGGTTGAAACAACGGCTGGATTGGGTAGGGACAGTCGATCGTGACCGGCGCCAAAAGGCGGGGGATCGGCCAAATCTACTGGGTAAGCACGAGCCGTCAAGTCTTGGCATCTTCAGCTGTGGCGGGACGAGCTCGTCCTTGCACCCAAGACGCGTGAGCGCCTGGTGCCGAGTTCCTGGGCAGTCCAGACGTCCTTTTAGCGACTCGACTCGTGGAGAGTAAAAAGGAGCACATGTCTGAAGTCTGGGCGGTCAGGCCAGATCGCTGTGCAGTCGAGCTGGTTGGTGCCTCGAGGGTCCATGGCCAGAGTGTCCCGAGGTGCCACCAGGACAAATGGACGGCGCATCGCCTCCAGTCAAATCGATGACTCGTGTCAGCGTTGGGCGCGCGTGGCATTGCCCGTCGTGGCGGAATACACCACTGGGCCTGGGGTGACTTGTCGGAGCACTCGGTACAAGTTGGAAAAGTTGGCGTTGAGGGGTCTTTGAAGAAGGGGACTTGGTCGTCTGATGTGGTTGGTGGTGGGTGGTGTAAGTTCTAGTCCCCAACTTGAAGGTCCCACGGGGGCCATGTGATCGGATGTGACCCCAATCAACGTCAAACCAGTGCCTCAATGTTAGTCATTTGTGAACCCCCAAGCCCGGACGGCCGTGAGAAGTCTCGGACATGTAAAAAGGCAAAGACCTCCCGCCGTGGGAGGTTTTCCCACATCCGTATCTTTCATGCTCGCTTCTAAACCGCCCTAGCATTCACCCATCATTTTCTATCCGCGTACATACGTGAACGGTGGTGCGAGGGATACATCTCGTCTCGGCATCCACACTGCCGCACGGCACACAGCCCGGGCCAAATACGACCTCCGAGAACCGATGTACGCCCTTTCTCCGAGTGAACCGGCCTCTGCATCAGAGCATACTATAAAACACTAGATTCCTAGAAGAAGAAGAAAGACCCGTCAGCAAAGGGCAACCCGAGCAGATCAACCTCCCATCCCAGCGGGGCATAAGCAGACCCATCATGTCCCCACGCCTACCCTACACATCGCCGTGGCGGCGGCCCGCCATCCTGCTCGCCGCCCTCCTCCTCCTCTCGTGGTCGCTGCCCGCACACGCAGAGCGAGACGCCGGCGTCGACGAGTCCATCCAGAGGATACGCCATGGGCCGGTGCTCCCCCCCGATCCCACGGGCACGGGGTACAAGAGAGCCCCCCGTCAAGACGGTACCCACGACCCTCTCCAAAGGCGGAGCGAGCTCGGCGGTAACCATGACACAAGGGCGGGCGGCAATCACCAACCACACGGCCTCGACGCCCAGGGACGTGGCGACCCGGACGCTCGCCGCGCCGGCCGTCGAGACGCGCCTGGCCCCGCGCCAATACCGGCCTACACGCCCGTCGTGACGCCGGCGCCGGACCAGGACGCCGTCCTGGCGAGCCAGGGCTACCGCCAGCTCACGTACTATACTTGCAATACTGTCGGCGGCAACGAGCACTGCGGCTGGCATGTGCCCGTCGTCAAGGCCCAGGGCGTGAGGGGGGATTCCGCCACCGTATGGGTCGTTGTTGGGTGTTTGGCCGGCGTGTTTGCCCTGGGCTTGATGTAGGGCTGTTTGCTGGTCATGAGGAATGAATGTTTTTTACGACTGCATGGTCTGGTGTATTTGATTGCGGGTATGGACTTGGGCCCATTGGGCGTGGGAACCGTGGGATGAAATGGGTGTTTTGGTGCTTGCGCAGATATCGTGATACCCGCTGCTGGACGGCAAGCCGCGCTGTTTGAATACAGCTCTTTTTTTTTTTTTAATTTCCCTTGGTCACATGGTACCTACCGTCGTGCAGTCTCATCGAATGCTAACCCACTGCAGCCCAGAAACACTACATGGAAGGTCATGGCATCACACACATGCCCCAAGTCACCGGGATGCTCGCACTATGTGAACCACATATATCGTAATTTTTGGTCCGAAACCGAAACACCGTTGATTTCATGCTAGTGTAGTCAAGGAAGACCATGGAAGCCGTGGTCTCACCCGCCCGTCCCCCCAAAAAAACCGAACGCGTTCCCAGAGGTTCGTGAACATAGTTTCCCGTATGCCCAAGAAATCCAAGCGCCCCGCGGTACGCTGATACCACACATCCGCGGACGCAGCCACAACACAGCCTTGCCCATCGCCCCCGTTTTTACAACGATGCACGTCACGCTTATTTGTCCTTCTTCGCCTTGGCACCCTTGACCTTTGCCGTGCCACGGAGCGTCTTCTGTCGGTTCTTGCGCTGCTTGCCTGCGGGGGTATGTTAGCACTCTTGTTCCGCCTTTTGCCTCGCGCAAATGCTCGAGTCTGCGTGGATTCCGGGCGACGACTTGCACGCCGAAGGGGGTGTGCGGGCGACGTACGCTGCTGTCTGCTGGCACGCTCGGGCTTGGTGGCCATGCCGACGCGGACAAGGCGGTAGGTGGGCTCAAACTTCTTCAGGGCCTCGGGGGAGTCGTAGATGAGGGCGAAGCCGGTGGTCTTGCCGCCACCGAACTGGGTTCGCAGGCCGAAAACCTGGACCTGGTCCTTCTGCACCTTGTACATGCCGCTGAGCTTCTCGCGGAGCTCCTCCTTGGCGATGTTGGCGCGGTTGGGGTGGAGGATGTCACTATTCGATGCATTAGCATGGCATGTTTGTTTCCCACGTAATCATCATTCCTCGTGCCGCGCAAGAATTTGGCCTTATTCGTATTTCACGGGGCGATGGCTTCGTCTGCTAGGAATCTCATTGAGCCGATGGGTTGATGAATGATGTGTATGCCCGTCTGCGCTGCGCATGCCCCAAGTGAATTGGAAAATTTTGTTCACTTCTCAGTCGTCGAGGATCTTATGAGAGCTGAACATGTTGACTCGGGTAATGGCCATATTTTTTTTTTATTCGTCTTGTCGTCGAATTTGTCGCATGAGAAAATTGCAGATAGTGACGCTGGGCCCCGTGAAGTCGACGTTCAAATTGCGCGGCACCATCGAAGAGGGGGGGTTTTCAAACTCACACGACCATCTGCTTGCGACCCAGCAGAGGGTTACGGATGAACTTGCGAGTTCGAAGAGTAACGGGGCTGTCGTTGTCCGCCATGGTTGCGGTGTTGTGATGTTGTCTCTGTGGTGGTGACGGAGGTGAGACTGGGCGTTGGGCGTGGTGACTTCAAATCCGTGAGGGTCGAGAGGGCCAGCGAAATCTGACCCAGGGCGAAAATTCCGTCGGCCGCCCGTGTCGCTTAAACTGGGTCCAACCCTAACAGTTTGTGCGTGCGTTGGTGTGGGGATTCAAAAAGCATGTGTGTGCCTGAGGAATCCGGCTGCTGCTTAGTCGCACAAAATTTCGCTGGAAAACCACGTGATGCGCCGGACAAGTTTCGGAAAATTACATTGCCATTTTGGGATGTTGAACCCCACACTGTCTCCGCGCGGGTGGCATGACGAGGCAGGAGCACGCGAGCTTTCAAGCCGTCAACTGTTGTAACTTGAATTTGGCATCTGCAAATGGACTGGTACTCTGGCCTAACATGGATCCTCCATGGAGGCAAGAGGTAGATCGGTTCTGTTACCAATGCCTTCAGCTAGAGTCCATTCTTGACTATCCCCAAGACAAGTTCCTCCGTTTGGAAGATGTTCAGGATGACATCTACAAGCGTATCTTTTGTGATGAGACGGGTAGTGTCGGGCCCCCAGACAGATATCGCATCAAAATTTTGAAGGAACTTGTGTTCCGAATAGAGTCTGCCATAGACGACTGGGATAGATATGTAAGTTTTCTCCTCGTAGTTTTACATCCATTCTCAAGCTACCAAGCCATAATCATGGTCATTCTGACCAAAGGCCCAAAGGCGGTATCAGATGATATCATGAACACACTATCGGCACTTCTGGCCACTCCCATGCCACCAGATGCTGTATCGGCGCAAAAGAAGTGCTATGTAACATATCACCTGTCCTTGCTTGAGCGTGAGACGCAGTCAAAGGCGGCCGCTCCACATCCGAGCATCACACTCCTCGAGAATCGAAACCTAATTGCCGCGGGCGGTACTACGGGCCACAGGACCTGGGAGGCGGCATTACAATTGGGACAATACCTGTGCCAAAATCCGTCACTTGTCGCAGGAAAACGCGTGCTGGAGTTGGGTGCTGGTACCGGATACCCGTCTATACTCTGTGTGAAGCATTTGCAAGCAGCACACGCAATTGCTTCGGATGGATCCGACGACGTCATTAATAACCTGCCGGATAATTTGTTCCTCAACAGCCTCCAGGACTCGTCAAAAATCACCCTGATGGACATCAAATGGGGACACGCACTGGTTGGCACAGAGGATGAGAAATGGAATGGTGGCCGGCCAGTCGATGTCGTACTGGGTGCTGACATCACGTATGATGATCGTGTTATGCCGGCTTTGGTCGCGACTCTTTTAGACCTCTTTAGGATGTATCCAAGTGTTCAAGTATACATATCGGCAACCGAACGAAATGCAGAGACATACCAGGCGTTTCTGAAGGTGTGCAGACAGCGAGACCTGGCTGTGGAGGATCTGCACGTTGATGTGCCTCCTCGATCGCAGCAGAATGGCCCGTTCTTCGATGACCAGCTGGCGATGCACTTGTGCAGGGTGGCTAGAATTGATGGGACGGTGGGAAGATGATGATCATGTCATGGCATAATAATAGTGGGAGGATCAGCCCGAAGCCCGGGGGTTTTCTTGGCCACAGTTTCTGCGGAAGTGTCAGCCAGAATATGGAAGCAAGGAAGTTGGGAAGTTGAAATTTGTTTTGGCGAGCGTCATTATTACTGCCGTCTTTTGCTGTGGAGGCCGTCACCCTCTCCTAATTACCGGCGGTCCCTACTGTTGACGCCATCCGCCGTGTGGGACGGGGGCTTGTCTCATGACGGTAGCGGCGCGCATCGGTCTGTGAGGAGGCGAAACAGTGTGTGAAGTCATGGACGACGGACGAGAGTTATTGATCACAGTGACTACATACCTCCCCCTAGGTACTTGAGTAAGTAGTTGGTGAGATGATGCCACGGAGAGGCCAGGCATTGTTCCGGTCGTGGGCAAACGACCCCACAAGGTAGCTACTTTCCAGAGTCATACTGTTGTGTTCAATTGTTCATCAAAGAGGCTCTCGCGGCCTCATTCATGATGGGTAACGGGCCTCCTCCGTGGTTCTGGTTGGCAAACGAAACGTGGACGAGCGTACCCCATCATTTGGAACCCAGGCGACACGCGTTTCCAGCGGGTCAGCATATCGATGTCTTATTTTCTGCAAGTTTGAAAGTTGGCAGGGGCCATATCACGTCTCACTCTCGACGAGTGGTAATACTAGCAGCTAGCTACAGAGTAGGCGAGCTGGACGATCCTGTCGGTCAATGGGGCCGCTGGCTGCACCCAGACAAGAGAGCCTGGCACAATGGGTGGGACATGTTTACCATGTACGAGGTAGGCTGGTGGCATCATACTCTGACGCAGTACTCGACATGGCTGCACGTACTGTTGGGTTGGTTGGATCGCAGACCAGTCAGTTCATCGATGGCGGCATTGTCTTGTTTGCTTGTTGCAACGCCGTGTTGTCTGGTATTGCACACAAATCACAAATATTGCAACAAAGCTTCGTTTGTGGCCGTTTTCCGTGGCCCGTTTTCCGTTTTCCGTGGCCCATGCCTGCCATGATTTCAGAATTGCATAATTTCCCCAGCATGTTTCGTGCCAGGGTTGATTTGATTGCCCATGTGCGGTCGCCGGTTGCTCCGCCTCTTTAAGCATCAATGCTATCACACTGCGCTATTTCCGTGGCGGCATTAAGCCGTCGTTGGGGCCCACCGTACTCCGTACCTGGACAAGGCGTTACAATATTGTGGACTAGCATCACAGCATATCGTGCCCAGCTGTGTGCCAGACACAGCATGGTCTGTGGCAACGGGAGACAGGCTCGGAGAGCCAATGGCCAGCGAAATACCATGAACAAACTTCTAGAAGCAGCTGCAAAACGCTGTCCACGTCTCGATGAAATCGGCGCCTTGTGTACTCTCACTACGGACGGAATGTGGCTACTCTTGTTCCCTGCGAAACATGATGAGCCGCTCAACACGTCAACGTACCAAGAACCGCTACTCCGTACGGACTACGGAGTACTGCGATGCAAATGTTGTAGACTTGTAGCACACCCGTGTTTGTTCCGAGTCTCTTCGTTGCCTCAACTGAGCGCGTACAAATACATATCAAGACTCTCACCACCGTCACCTGAACCTCACTTGCAGATTTGTCCCCCAACGGGCCTCCCTCTTCTCGTCGCTTCAGCCAAAAGAACCTGCAGCCGGTCAGTCCTGCTCGTCCGTCTAGGTGTCACGTCCCCAGGCAGGGCAGTTTATATTCCACCCTCCAAACAATCCCTGGCCTGATTCTGGACCAGTCTCGTTCCAGTCGGGCGCCACAAGCATACCACCCAAATCACGACACCACGGACCAGTCAACCAGTCAACCGGTGCCACCACCTCACCACCTCACCTCGTCACCTCAGTTCGTGCCGCCTAGCGCGCAACCACCCTGTTGCCCAATGGCCGGCCCCAGCCCCGGGTGACAGTGACAGTGACAGTGACTGGCCTTCGCTTTCCCAAGTGGCAGCTTGTGGCAGCTCGCGTCTGGTGGTGTGTTGTGAGGACCGCCTACGCCCCCGATCTGGGTCTCTCCATTGCTCGCCATCTGGTCGGATTGCTCCGTACTCTGCATCTCGATATCTCTGCGTCTCTGGCTGAAAGGCCCAACCGCCTGCGCTATACCAACATGCGGTAGCGCCATCCAGCTCACGAGCCTTCAGCTCCGTTCCGGGCTTCTCTCGTTACCGTCGTGTCGTGGAAAGAAAGTGTCCAAGTGTCGCCACCGCCATCAACGCCATTGGCCAGCCTGTTCATTGCGGCAGAGAGAAGAGAAGAAGAGGCAGGATATACTCCGTATCTGCTGATGGAAAAGTATACACTAGTATACCATGTAGGTAGTTATTAGTGTATACGTCTTGGTGTTCAAATATTCAATGTTCTGCCCATAGACTGTCAATACAAGTCAGAGTACGAGCCAAAGTCGCTGTACCCAGATGCCCACTCGAGCTCCGGTCATCTCCCGCCTCCCGTGCATCCTTTTTCAAGCATTCCCCCCCCTGCTCCTTCCATCTTCCACATTTTCCCATTGTTAATATTGCACATTCTGCTTCTAGATTCTCAAAGCTGAAAACATACCCTGACCTTGGCAGAATTGAAGAATTGACCCGATCGTCACCCCCTATTCATATGTATGGTTTTATTCGCAGCACGCCTCATTTCCAACACGGACCGTCCCCACCCCCTGGCTAATCGCCCCCAGCAAGTCTCCGTGCAGACGGTGACAGCTACACCTGCTCACCAGACACCCTCCCGTCATCATCCTCTTTTTTTCCTCCGTCAAAAAGCAAAAGCGGCGGTGGATTGACAGAAATACCATTTGATATCAGCCTACTCCGTACCGGCAAAGGCCATCAACCACGTTTCCTGCTGCACTAGTGGATACACAGATCCGCTGGCTGAACAGAGTGGGCTCCTTCTGCAGCTGCGTCCATCCAGTGCTGCATCGTCGCAACGAACCCCCCGCTCATGGTATACCGCCTGCCGCCTGTTGCCCAAGACCGATCATTCATTCACCTTCAATGGGCTTGTTATAAAGAGCTCCGTGTCTGACTCAAACAAATCTCTTGACTCTCGCTGCGCTCCTTCAAGCCAAGGGAAGCACCCATACCGACCCCCACGCTTCCTCTCCTGACAAAGCCAAAATGACCTCGAGCAAGACACATACCTACAACTTTGCTCTGCAAAAGTACATGCTTCTGCAGGAGCAGCATGAGGAACTCTCCAGCCACCTCGACCAGATTCGGCCGCGCAAGGCGTCAGTCACGAGCGTCTCAACTCGATCATCCAGCACTTCGTCGATATCGACATCACCAAGGCGATACTCGGGGAGCGGTGAATGTAAATTTGGTCGCACTCGGGCCCGCTGCGGCCGAGACGCTGCTGGCCCCGGATCCCTGGGCACAATTCTAGACGAAGAAACCATACATGCCATCTCTGCTGAAGAGCAGCGCCTGTTTGACGTCAACGAGAGCATTAAACGCGCCCTGACAGAACTCCTCAACTGTGACGCAGTGCGCGGCAACAACTCGATGCGCATGTGGGCGCAAGTCAGATTAATGGAGACGGAGAAGGAACTTCGCTCAGGTCGTCGACGCAGGAGCTCTCCCTGCATGGAGTGAGCGGCCGAATGATCGCTTCAGCAAGGTTTTTCTACCTGATCATTATTGCTAATACCCGACTTCTTGCATTGGCGCTCCCTGCTATAATATCTTTCTTGCTTTGGAAATTGTTTGCAATTACGGCGTTTTTGGGTAGTGGAAACAAAGGTTATGGGCTTCTTGGGTTAAAAAGCGATGTAGTGGCATTCACCGAGGCCTCACAAAATGGCGATACAGAACGTCGTGAGGACGTTCTTTGCATGGCGTTTGTTATGTACTTCTACCCTGTGCTTCTGACAGCATCTGCTGCAGCATTGCTACGAGCATCCATCGTCCTAGTAACGAATGTGTTCTACCATGCAGGTTACGGAATCTGTTATTTGAAATCGAGAATCAACTTTGTCAAAAAAAAAATATGTGTCTCCCAGATTGTGACGGATTGCAGTGACGACACCATTTTGGCTTGACCGCCCATCAACTGAGAAGTGGAACACAATTCTGGAGACAGCCGATGATCTACGGTAGATTTTTGTCGACCAATGCCGCGAATATAGTAATAACATCCGGTACCATGAGATATTTTTAAAGCGCAATGGTCAAGAACTTCTTTACCTCTTTTTATATTATAGTATATAATAAAGCGCGACAGCCACCCGACCTGTTCAGATTGTTACTTTTTACCTCCCACAGAAACAAGCACGCTAGGCGTTTGCCAAGAGAATGCTTGGCCTTGAGCGTTAGTAGCTGCGAACCAACCGTTTAATCTGCAGAGATTGGGGAGGTCCACTTGCCGGGGCTGGAAATTGTTGCACCGGATTTGGTGCCCCATACTACTGCATGCATGTACTCAGTGCTAGTACGTAGTACCTCTCCGTACTTGACTACAGGTATTGGTTTATCATTAGATACTGGGTCAACGTACGAAGCAGGACAGGAAAAATGCGGAGTGTTCCATAAAGTATGTACGCATCTTGGAATCTACTCCGTACAACCACTAACATTCACACTTTAGAATCAAATGAACACTGCTGGCACCAGAGTTCTTGATTGACAGTATAACTTCGTAGCCCCACCTGAATGGACTGCTTCGTTCTCATCCTTCGTTGTTGAATTGGCTTTTGCCTACTAGGTAAGTGCAGACATCACGTGAGATTATCCGCGGCCTCTCGGCAAAACTTCGGCAAGCCGGTCCACGTTGGAGAGCTACGAGATCTTGCGACAGCTGTTAAACATTAGCTAGCTGTTCGAGACTTCGCTGTGTCTAGGTCTTGCACCTCAACGTCAAAATTTTGCGCGACGCGTCCATGCACATCACCGCTGCTTATGGACGGCGGTTTGGAACTGACTTCAGAAGCCTCATCTGAATTCAGGAATTCAGGAGCACTGGGCAGTTTTAACCAACACTCATCGCAATGTCGGTTCTCTTGGAGACTAGCGTTGGTGACATTGTCATCGACTTGCTGGTTGAGCATGCGCCAAAGCTGTGTGAGAAGTAAGTCATTCGCCCAGATCTTTTGTTAATAAAGTATTGCTAACACCACGAGCAGTTTCCTGAAGCTTTGCAAAGTCAAATACTACAATTTTTCTCCGGTCCACTCTGTGCAAAAGAACTTTTCATTCCAGACCGGCGACCCTTTGGGGCCATTGTCCAAACAATCCGATGGAGGCTCTTCAATATGGGGTTATATATCTGGGGACCCTTCGAAGCAATCATTCCCTGCTTTTTTCCACCCGAAGCTGAAGCATCTTGAGCGCGGCACAGTTAGCATGGCCACGGTTCCCCTCTCCGCCGATCCCGATACGCGCCTTGCCGCCTCGCAATTTCTTATTACTCTTGGGGAAGAAACAGATTTTTTGGACGGCAAAGCCGCTATATTCGGCAAAGTTGTGGAAGGATTTGATGCCTTGGAAAAAATCAATGAAGCCATTGTTGATGATAAAGGCTATCCTTTGATCGACATTCGAATCAAGCACACAGTCGTATTGGACGACCCATATCCGGACCCTTCCGGGTTAAGGGAGCCCAGCTCAAGCCCTCCGCCTACGGAATCTCAGTTGAAAACAGTACGGATTGCTGACGAGGCAGCCTTGCACGAGGATGACGGGGTAGACGAGGCTGAGCTGGAACGCCGGCGCCGTCAAACCGAGGCCAATGCACAAGCCTTGACGTTGGAAATGATGGGAGACCTGCCATTTGCCGAGGTGAAGCCGCCAGAGAATGTTCTTTTTGTCTGCAAGTTGAATCCAGTCACTGGCGACGAAGATCTGGAACTAATCTTTGGCCGATTTGGCAAGATTTTGAGCTGTGAAGTAATTCGAGACGCCAAAACAGGAGACAGCTTACAATACGCATTCATAGAGTACGAAGACAAAGCATCCTGCGAAGCCGCATATTTCAAAATGCAAGGCGTCTTGATAGATGATCGAAGAATTCACGTTGATTTCTCACAGAGTGTCAGTAAACTGAGCGATGTTTGGAGAAAGGACACAAATAGCAAACGACGGGCAAATGCTTCGCGTGGTGGTTGGGGCGGTGTTGATGAACTGGAAAAGAGAAGGCAATACCGAGCTGAAGTAGACGCGCCACAGAAAAGCAACTACGGCATGGTTTATGGTGATGAGGAGATGAAGGGACGTCATGAGCGGAGCGAACGAAGGGACATTCGAGGAGAGAATCCCTCGTCAGTGGGAGAAGGTCGGCGAAATGATCAAGGCGCTCGAAGCCGCAGCCCGCGCATACGAGAACGAAGTCGTGATAGGCAGCCGGGCCGGAGGGACGTCCATCGTCATGGGGACATGAGAGAATGGGACCGTAGAGATGGAAATCCTAGGTACAACGACAAGGACAGATACAGGTACAGAGCCAGGGATAGGGATCGAGATGAACACCAAGACAAAAACAAAGAACACCGTGACGACTCGTATCGTCCAAGACGATGAAATGAATCTACAACTTAAGGATACACATTGGGCGCGTCTTACGAGACAGATGTATTGTCCGACATCTAACGTTGTTCCTCGAGGGAAAATTTGAATGCTCAGGACTCGACTCGTCAATACCCAATCACGACAGTGGTATTCGTGCTACGTCGCGCACTCTGGACATTGTCTGGAGCAAGCCTCACTGCACCATGCAAGGTGGCCAGGAAATCTGCTTTTCTGACCGCCTATGCAAACATGGCAAACGCCCTGCCAAATTGGCTTGTGACGTGTCTTGTACACTTTGAGCAGTCATCAATCGAAAAGACATCGCAGAATTTAAAAAAAAAAAAAAAAAAAAAAAAGGCACATGTGACCCCAGCATCTTGGGTCGGGGACCTGAGCAATTTTGCCAGGCACCAGGCTATGTTTCACAAACTGAGCCGCCCAGCGGCTTGGAATCGCCGACAAGCGAGAAGGACAGACGAAATCATCCCCTGACTGCTGGTTTTGGCCCCCAGTATTTCCGAAACTTCGGCATAAGCTGGCAGCAGCCCTAGTCGAATTACCAGACGCGGCCCACGGCACCCGAAAACACTAGAGCTTCCGACTCTATTGGCAGGTTCAGTGCTGTTCTTGCTCCATATCGGATAGCTTCAGCCCTCGTGTAGTGCACCGAGTGATGCATGTTGAAGTCTAAATATAAACAAGTGCATGCTCGTGTCGGATAAGTGGTCAATATGACATCATGCTAGAGCTTGTCCGGCTTATTTATCGAAGGTACTAGGACCGCACTCAAAATCTTCCTTGTAATAGGGATGACTGAATGCTTACCAAGAGAAACGAACCTCAAAACCCTTCTCGGGAATATGGCGGGCTGCGTGTTGAAGGGCCATGTTTACCGTAATGCAGCGACCAAGAAGATTTGGCGAGAAATCGTCATCATACCGAGACAACTGCGGAGCCGCTCAATGGCCTCGGGGCCTTGGATTCACCGAGTCTGGGGTAGCCGACCGAGTTAGCACTACTACTACTACTATTACTACTACAATCTATGGAAGAGATTTATTAATCGTCACATTTCAAGTCCGCCCCAGCGGACATGTCCCCATGTAAGCTTGCTTGTCCGGATAACCAGGACGGCCAACTGCATATTGCCGAAATCTGTCAACCTGATAGTTCCAGGACGTCAACCCCAAAGCACCATCAACAATCAAAATCAGGGTGGCCAGCTGTGGCAACATTGACACAACATCTCAATTTGGATACCGCTAGCGATCTTTGACAGGCATCGGAAGAGCCTCCAGGCGTGGCCAACCCTGGTTTGTGTAGCTCAAAGCTGTTTGGATACAGGACGTACGCTAAATCAGTTAACACGATGTTTCTGCCATGGCGTGCAGCCTCACATCGAGTTTCGCATGAATAGGCCGCCAAGCTTGTTACGCCTGCAGCGATGGATGGCCAGCAACGTCTTTTCCGACCAAGATTAGCCGAGAATAGAATGGCGGTGATGATACATGCAGACCCTCGACCCCCCGGGTTTCAGTTACGAACCTAGTACTCCGTACTCCGTACCCAGAAGTTTCCCCTGGTGTCTTGCATGTGGCTGCGGAAGCCACCGTTGTTCCCGAACTTCTTTTAGCCCAGACTGACCTGGGATCCTGCTTCCATGGTTCGAAAACAACCTCGACCCTAGTCGAATTCTCGATCCAGCTAGCCTATGATACAACTACATGAAGGAACAAATTGCTGTGGCGGCAGAAGCCTGACTAGGGGGGGCCCTGGTTATCCCTTGATGGTGGTGCGCCACCCTTCATGCTTGTACGATGACAGTATCGGCCCTGCTTTTTCAACTTCGTCTGTGTCGCTTCATGAGGCATGCCCCTTAGCCTCGAGAAGCTGTTTTTTCTTCTGAACGGCAAACCGCGAGCATGCAGTAATCCCTGACAGGAGAGCAAAACCTTCAGACCGAGTGGACAGTGAATCCTGCTGCACAGACGAAATCAATCTTGCCTAGATTCCTTCTCAGTACCTGGTGTGGGGCGGTCAGTGTTTGTTTCCAAGAGCCTCATCTCGGTTCAGCGTTTTGGGCGAGTATGTAGGTTTCTCGGATTACCCGCGCTATTCTTCGTTCAGTGGCCATGGACGCCGACTGGAACAATGATGGCTTACTCACATATGTAGCAGTGACAAGGCTCCATTCTTACCCCTTGCTCCGTGTTTTGCCCATCTGCATGGCTCGCACGTGCCAGAGCGATGGCAAATGCAGATAACACCTCGTACAAGATGAGTGCCCTGGCGATGAAGGATCTTACGAAGCTTGACCATGGTGTATCTTTTGTTTTGCGCCCAGTTGTCAGTTACGGAACACAACGCCCACGCGGTCTGTTCTTGCCACTTTTCTCACGTCCTCGAAAGAGAAAAAACAAAAAGTAAAAAAAATCCCCTATATCCGAGCTTCGTGGTCAAAACAGTTACACCAAGAATAGAACACTGCAAACGAAATGAACGATTTGGACGAGACAGGAGAAGAGGACAACACGTTTTGGTCTTCAGCCAGTACTCCGTACGGAGAATGCATTGAAGCATTGGCACATGAGGCTTGGGCCAGTGGCCTGTGTAACCACATCGTCAGTCTTGGTGTGGATGGACAGCCAGGGCACGTCTCAAGACACACCGACACTTACTGGCATTTGGTGCATAGAAGGGTGTTTGACATCTGCCGAGTTTGCTCACGGACCAGCATTGCTGCCAATATCCAGACTTCAGCTTAGTCTCTGTGTCAGCGCCACCCGGCTGATTCTATCGTGAGTGCAATTTGCAGCACTTTGTTGAGGCCAAGGTCTACTTGTATACCAGACAAACAAATTCTCAAGATGATTTCTTCCCAGGCTGTGTAACCATTTACCCAAAGGAATCATGGCAGTGAATAGACTGGCAATCGAAGAGACGCCCCGAAGAGACGCATATACCAATGCCGATATTTCGTAGAAAGGCTGATTTGCGGTGCACCACTGAGGTATGACGTACTCATTCTTCATTACCTCAAGCGAGATTCATGGGTGTTTCTGAGTGAATGCTTATCAAGGTTCACCTGGGTATCAAACAGATAGATGATCCGCTCTTTTTGGCATCTTTCTTTGCTGGCGGGTTCATGTTGCCTCCGGGACCTTGCTTGATACACGCTCAGAATTGCTGCTTCTGCAACCAAGATTGCATGTTAGCATGTCAAAGGAAATCTAAGTCTGCCGCTCTGCTGGGCCATGCATTAGATCTACCGGGGCCTTTCCTCACATTGCGCAGGGCGCCGAATTTCCTAGCGGCTGCAAAGAAGCATGCCTTGATGCCGTGTGGCATATGATAGAAACATGCCATCCTGCCGCATGTACGTAACCGTCAACCACCACCCGGGAACACCGTGATGAACAGACCATGTGCCCAATCCACCTTGTCCTTGGAGCAGAGGCGGCAGGCCCTTTGCAGTCAAGACAAACGAGATAATGAACAGGGGGAGCCATAACCACCAGCTAGTCAAATTTGCCTCTGAGCGAGTTGATGGATGCCGTGTTTCGAGGAAGGGCCGGTCCGTGGTTGGGCAACATTGGTGACAAACATCGGAGAGACTGGGGCGATGACGGAGTTGTGCAATCGGATGGGAATCCATTGGACGCGTCGGACGTGATCCGGCAGACACAAACAAGCTATCATCAGACTCAGGGTGCCTTCAGGACCTCTTATCATCCGTCGTACGGCCGACGTATAACAACAGGGCATAGCCGCAACACCCCGAGCTCTCCAGGCTACTCCCTCCTCGCCTCAGCAATAACTTGGCTACTTCCTGCTTATTACTTCTGGCTTAAACAGCCTGGAACCTGCTTGTCAGAGGTTGCAACAGTCTCTGGCGTCTATTCTTTAGGCTTTGCCCGTCCTCTTCGTCCTCTTTGGCGTTTTGCGTCTGTCACCATCTCTCCCCTTGTTCTGAACAACCCGAGACAATATTCGTCAATTTCCACTGCAAACGACCGTCTCTCTGGGCGTTTATTTGCACGTACATCGGCAGCTGTCACAATCGGAAGCTTGTGTCGATCTTGAAAAAAAGCTGAGCATATGTGTGACACCAAACTGCTGATCTTGCAACAATAACATCATCATCATCACTACCGTCTTCGTTGCACCATTGGTTGCCTGCCTTTACTTCGATTGTGTCTACTTCTTTGAGCCCTCGTGTTTTTATCCCTCAAGCTTTACGAGAAGATCCGCCCTGTCGCAACATAGTTGCTTTCTTTGACCTGAACAGACAATTTGGATCATATCCTTGACCGTCGCTACTTCAATTTTCCCGCCCACCACTGTTGTGGGTGAGAAAGCTCTGCAAAGACGAACTATTCTACAGACTGCGGCAAAATGGACGAATCAAACTCACAGAGAAAACGAATTGCTGTTGCGGTAAGCTCACACGGGTTGGGAGGCCGACTTTGTTAGGGTATGGATAGCTGGCTAATGCGATGACAGTGTGGACGCTGCCGGCAGCGAAAGATTCGATGTAGCGGCGACACGGGCCCAGGAGACGGATGCACCAATTGTAGAAATGCTGGATTTGAACCATGTCGGTTCCTCAGAGTACGTCGCCCTGAATCTGCATTGTGGTGAATGATTCTTACATGATGGATAGGTTTCATCCCAAGAAGTCCAAGGTGTACGATCGACCAGCCTGAACTACAACATTAGCGTGTCGAGAAAGTATTCCGGCCGGAATTCCAATGCATCTCCTGCTCTAGCGAGCCCGCCACTCTACACACATAACATGATGAACTTTGTCGGGCAAGACAACCTGGGAGATCAGAACGACATGACTTATGGATGCGGCCCGAAGCCGTATCACCAAGTCCAGGAGTGGACAAATGGATATGGCGACGACCAACCCATGGATTTCGAGACAACTCACCAGGGAGCGCAGGGCAGTGACTATCAGTATATGATGGGATCATATCGCTCCCCGGTCAATCCGATGGTGGAGAGAGGCAACAGCATGGCATACATGGATGCCTGTGGGGGTTATGGCTACAACAATGCGCCAGGCCGACATGCGTCTGCAGGAGATGCCGGTTACTCTTTTAGCAGCGCAGTTTCTTGCTACTCTGAATCAACCGCTGGCAATGCGGACAAGATGGCACCTTTGTCCTCGAGGCGCTCCCGACCAGGCTCTGTGAGCACCATTGGCCGTCGAACCCCGGCCGTCTCCAATGGGACAGACAATTCCGGACTCATGGATATCAGTGGCAGTCACTATCACGCGTATGATACCAGTGCTTTGGCTCCATATCATGGAGGCTCAATGGATCGTAGTACGGACATGTACACTACTGTCCCGCCAGTAGACGAATTTGGACAGGGAACTTCGTTGAGATCTTCTCTGCCGGGGTACCCCTACCGATACACGGATACCACGCCAGAAGGTGGAAACGTTCTTGTACTGGACGACCAACAGTATCTTGTCCAGGGTCGTGGATCGTACCTCGGAGGGATTTCGCCAACCGAAAATGGCACCATGAACTGTCGAGGGAGCGCTTCTGCCGGCCTTCACAGCTGAACAAGAGTGGACATCCAGGATCGAATCTGGGGAGATGGGTCGGGTCGGCCTCCCGGATTCAAGGTGTGTTTTTCCGCCATTGATTTTACATATTTTGCACATATTTTAAAAACCCCGAATTCATTGCTGGGCGGCGTCTTGCGTACCAGTTGGACGGAGGTACCATGGATCTTTGCAAGCTGAGAGCCAGTCAAAAGGACAGGAAGCCTGCCGGCGCTCAGCTTACCTGACGGAAAATCATGGGTCTCGAATTGGCACGATTACTGCTGAAGGCGACATCACATGGCGCTTCACTGAGCGCTAAAGGCAGAGTGCATCTCGGTTCAACTGCAGTTGGCCATGTGGCGGACCTTGGGCGCTGGATACGGCTTCCCTCGAACAAGGTCAACTCGCCTTCATGTATTTGGTCACATTCCCAGGAGGCGCTATATCTGTTGACAAGAAACCCTGCATAGCTGACGTCGACATGGGGAAGTAGGAGGGCTTGGGCTTGCAAATGTTGGGAGTCATGACACGGGAGGTCAAAGCAAGAGCTCGGCGGGTAGATGTTGGGCGTTGGGCCATGCAAGTGAGCAGACTGTGGACTCAAGACCCCAGTGATTTACTAAGACTTGCACGCGGAACATTGGGAAGGCGTGGATGATGATGATGGTGACGACGACGACGATGGATGATGGATGTGGGTTAGGATGTGGTACCGCACGGTGTTGGCCACATGGGAGCCAGATCGGCCTGGTTCAAGATGAAGACGTGGCGTGGCGTGGCTTGGCGTGGCGTGGCTTGGCGTGGCGTGGCGTGGCGTGGCTATGTACCTAAGTATTGCAGGAGCTCCGTCTTGTGGTAGAGAATAGCTAATTGATAAAATGGTTGACGCATATTGGCCGGACCGGATTGGTGAGGATGGATCAAGCAAAGAGGCTGGTGAGGGCGGATTGGATTTGCATGTCGAGGTGCAATGTCTAGGCCCATTCCTGTTTGGGCAGCGTGCCTGCCCGCGTTCAGACACCCACGTATTAGCGATGCAATCCGTGGCGGGGTACGATGAGGGGAAGCTTCACAACTTGGCTTCGTGTTGCTTGACCCGTCCCCAAGTTGCCAAGTTTGTGGAATTAGACGTGCTCCTTCGCCTTGGGGCTTCCTTTCCTTTCCGTTTCTTTCTCTCTTCTCCCCCTCCTCGACGTCCAACATTGATACCCGCCCTTCTCTAGTGCCTTTCACTGACTGTCAAACACCACCGCGGACACCAACATCGTCAACATCGCCATGCAAGTCCCCCTCTTCCGCCTCCAGTGCGGCGTCAACTCGTACGAATGGGGCAAAAAGGGCAACCAATCTGCCGCCGCAAGATTCGCGGCTGCCACGCCGTCGGACGAGCTGAGCATCCAGGCCGACAAGCCATACGCTGAGGTACGGCGCACGAGGCCGTCGGACCGCGACTACAGAAGATGACGCGAGTGCTAATGGAGTTGATAGCTCTGGATGGGCACCCACCCCTCCAACCCTTCCAAAGATCTCAAGACCGGCCGAACCCTCCTCGAACTCTGCTCCGAGAACCAGCAACTCCTCTCGTCATCCGTGTCAGCCAAGTACGGTGCCAAACTGCCCTTTCTCTTCAAAGTCCTGTCCATCAACAAGGGCCTCTCGATCCAGGCCCATCCCAATAAGAAGCTCGCCGAGCAGCTACACGCGAGGGATCCAAAAAACTACCCAGATGATAATCACAAGCCGGAAATGGCTATTGCCATTACGCCGTTTGAGGGACTCTGTGGGTTTAGGCCTTTGAGTGAGATTGCCCACTTTTTGGACACTGTAGGACCGTTGAGGGAGTTGGTTGGCGACGAGGTGAGCGGAGAGTTTGTCAAGACTGTCAAGGGCAATGACGAGGGCGCTAAGAAGGCGGCGCTGAAGAAGGCGTTTGGGACGCTCATGGCCTCTTCGGCGGAGGATGTTGCCAAGGGCATCGCGAAATTAGTCGGGCTGGCCAAGTCGCAGGGCGCCGAGTTTGCTTCGGGAGGTGTAGAATCTACCAGTGGGGAGGTTCTGTCGGAGCTTGTGACGCGTCTACACGGGCAGTTTGGAGAGGACATTGGCATATTCGTCCTCTTCTTCCTCAACTTTGTCAAGCTGCAGGCCGGAGAGGCGCTGTTCCTTGTGGCGGACGACATCCACGCCTACCTGTCGGGCGACATCATGGAGTGCATGGCGGCATCAGACAATGTGGTCCGGGCAGGCCTTACGCCCAAATTCAAAGACGTCACGACGCTCGTCGACATGCTGACCTACAACTACGCGCCCATCGACGAGCAAAAGATGACGCCTACGGACTATCCCTACGCGACCATGAACCGCGCGGCGTACAGCTCCGGCTCGGCAGTAGACCTGTACGACCCGCCGATTGACGAGTTCGCTGTCGTCAGGGCGGTGCTAAAGGGGCCCGGGGCGAAGGCTACCTTTGAGCCGCTGGAGGGACCTAGCATTGTGATTTGCACGAACGGCAAGGGGAGAATTAGCGTGGGACCGACGGCCCATGAGATTAAAGAAGGATACGTCTTCTTTGTGGGTTCGACGGCGGAGTGTGTGCTCGAGGCGGACGGGGACGAGTTTATTACATTCAAGGCGTTTTGTGAGGTGGAGGGGGGCAGGGAGAGGTTGTGATGCTGACGGATGCGATGGGTGGGATATGATGGAAGGAGTTAAAAAAAAAAGGGACGATACACTACTACTATTATAATGCCGTATGAAATTGCTACTATGACCTGAGACGATGTCATGGTGTTGACTTGACGGGTGGCCAGGTCGAGTGCGGTGCCCCAGAAGTTAGAACACATGCGGGCAAGTACAGAGTACCTAGATACTAGATACCTGGTGCGTCTGTTGGTCAAGTGGCCCAGCTTCCAAGATTGAATTCCGAACAGCCGTCTTGTCTTGATCGGGGCATTTCACTGGCCGACAGCGGACCAGACTTGGGGTCAGCAGGGCACAAAGTACCGAGTACAATGTGGGCGTTGTATCCCTTGACATCATTTTTAGGCTCGGCCTCGTGTCTGGTGCCTCTGCCCCTCCCACCTTTCTTTCGACACCTCACACCTTTTGTGCAAAGCAATATTTATAAACGCTGACCTCGCACCCCCTTGTTGACCTTGCCTGCCTTTCCCGTCTTGACCTCGACTTTCCATCGCGACGAGAACGACAGCTACCGACAGCGGGGTGCGTTTCCGCCTCCGTTTCCGTCTCCGATTTATTCGAGTCGCGTGGCTCCATCACAGTGCAGCAGCGAGCCCGCCCTTTCTCTTTCCGCAATAGCCCTGGCCGGGCGTGGGTCATTTACCGTGACATTTTCTGGCGTTGGCGTTGGCGTTGCCATTGCCACGGTTGCGCCTCGAGCAGGGACAGACCGAGAAGGACCAGATTGCTGAGAGGGAAACGGCAGCATTTGAACAGAGTACGGAGCAACCAGACTGCCTGTGCCGAGTCATATGTGCAGCTTCCCAGCTTGATTGCGTCTTGCGATCCATACAAACCAATCGCCAAGCTCCTGAGCTTTAGGCCCAGCCATTTGCGCTTTCACTCTCTACCATCGAGAAAACGTATGTTGACCGTCTTTTCTTTTTTTGCCTCCATTCTTTTTGACTTTTGGCTTTGATTTTTTGCCCTCCTGCATCCATTGAATTGCTTTTCTGTCACACAATCTACATCTCGGCTCGCATCCTTTCGCATCAATGCATTCGCATTCTCTACCTGCATGTGCGCTTTACCTTGGCTTCGTTGCTGCATGCATGGCTGGCTGGCATGCTCTTTACATTCTGATTTGAAGCCGAGCAACTACCGAGTCTTGTTCCACCATCAGTTGCATTGGTGCGCACCCTGCACATTGCAACAGCCCGCAAAGAGAAAGCGTCGATTGTCTCGAATTCTGTAGTTTTTAAATATTGGATTTTAGGCTTCCTGCCCCTCCTTTGCTGTCTTTGTAGCTTGGTTGCGTTTTGCTTCGGCTCTGTCTGCTTCGGTTTGACCCTGCAGCGTCGCTCCAGGGACACACAAAAAAAAAAGGCGGGGGAGGAAGACGAGACGGCAGCTTTACAAGACGAGCACTGCTGGACCCGAGTTGCGGACATAAATTGGGACCAGCCATTGACATTGGACCTCATCATGACTGACAAAAAGAGACAGCGCCGCAACGAACTCGACAACCTCCGAGAAGACCTCGGCCCTTACTACCATCGACCCTCTCCTCGCTCCGACTCTGTCGACACGGTCAGCAACCACAACCGCACCAACAGCGGAGGCGGCGTCACGGGCAGCCCAGGCAGTGGCATCATGTCGCAGCGCAACCGAAGTGGACGCGGGTCCAACCGCAGCAATGGCAACAATTCTCACGGAGAGGAGGCCCAGATATGGGACTCGTGCAAGAGCCAGCTCGCCGAGATAGTATCCGGCATCAATGCGGAGAATGACAACCTCTCGGAGCTGGTAGACATGGACAAGACAGTCGGGGCCACCGACCCGGAAAAGATCCCCAACGATTCACTGAAACAGATGGAGCAGCTGTGTCGCAATGGCGTCAAGTTCTCCGAGGCAAACGTCGCTAGTATCAAGGCGGTCATGGAGCAGCTTAAGATTATGCGCGCCGTTATTGTCGCCAAGGAGCAGGCCGAGGGCGGTTCGTCGGCACCCACGGGGAAACGAAATGCGCGAGACAGTGCAGCAGCAGCAGCCGCTTCGCTGTACGATTTTGACGGAGCTGGAGACTCTCCGGTCCCCAGCCCTATTGGTGGTTCTTCGCGAAAATACGGCGACCGCTCCAGCAACCGAGATAGAGACAGCATGCCTCCCAAGGCCGACAGTGTAGAGCCTCAGGGCTCGTCGGGAACGGGCAATGGTGGCGGACCGTCAGGATCGACTGCTTCTGGTTCTGCTGCCGCCGCCGCCGCCGCCGCTAGCAACAAGTCCAAGGTAGTGTTTTCCAAGGGTGATCCGGTGGCATTCAAGCCCAGGACTGGCGGCGAAGGCGTATCGGATTGGATAATGGGTGAAGTGGCTCAGGTTCTGGGCGAAGGCAAGAGCCGGCGGTACAAGGTGCTGGACATTGAGCCCGACGACCAGAGCAAACAAAAGGAGTACCGGACGAGCGCAAGCAGCATGATTCCAATCACGCCCGAGAGCCAAGCGAGTACCCTCAAGGACTGGGAGGCTGGGCAGGTGGTTCTGGCCTTGTATCCCAACACGACGACATTTTACAAGGCCGAGGTTCACAGCATGGACAGCCAAGGGCGCGTGGCTCTCAAGTTTGAGGGGGAAAACGACTCGACGACACTTCAACAGGTGGAGCGACGGTTTGTGATTGAGTATCGGGCGTGATATTTGCTGGGCGGGGATCTGCAGATTTCTTGTATGAGTAGTCGGGTCTTGGATCAGGTCGTCTCGGTGTCTCTTTGGCGTATAGGGGGGTCTGGAATTTTTTTGTGATAGCGGGCGTTGGCGGCAATGACATTGTTTTGTGGTCTGTCTGGTGTCTACGGGGTAGGTTGGACGATATCCATGGTGCTTTCTTTGGGGCTCAGGCATGGTCACGACGGGTACGTGGTGGACAGTTGCTATTGTGAAGCCAAGGCATGTTATAAGCATTGTCCGCGTCTGAGAGTCTGGTGACGTTGTGGCCCATGATGTTGTATGTATGTACCTAAGTACCTAGGTACGTACCAAACCCGGTACGGAGTGCTCATGTACTATTCATATCTGCCCCTCATTTCGGATTGACGCCGTCTTTCATTTTCCAAAGTGGACATGGGCTCCCTACCCCTGTCTGTTGTGTGGCTGCCCCTGCGTCAGAAACGTGCGGGAGTCCTTAATGTCTGTTTTTGCCACATGATGTCTGGCACGTATGTATTTATGTGTAGTATCATGATTCCTCCGTGCTCGGCACATGCCATGCGGCAAGTGACCTTGAGCGCAGCTAGCAGCCGTTTGCCGAAGGCAATCGACGCAGAGAAGGGCAAACATGCTTCCGAGACGATGCTGCTTTGTTCGGCAAGAGGCAGCAAGTAAATCCCCGAGAGTTACGATATGGGCGCCGTGGCGGGAAAGCAGAGGCCGCCCGCCGGACCCGAGGGCTTGGAACCCGCCGCCGGGGCTGGCTGTGATGCGACTGTGACTGCGACTGTGACATTGCCGTTGCATTTGTTTATTTTGATTTTCAACATGTTTTGATCTTGTTTCCGAATCGACACGAGGCGAAAAGCATGTGTCGTGCCAGGCGCTCTCCCTCTCATCTGGGGCACGTTTCATCCAAAGCCAAAGTTGACGGACAGGGGCAACCCTTCCCCCCCTCCCCACCAGGCCGAATCCCATTGAGTGTGCGAAGGTGCAGCCTTTGTAGCGGACCGGGACGCGGGCCAATAAGAAGATAATTATAAAAAGATACTTATTTTTCTTAATAGAAATAATAAGAATATAAGTACTAATTATCTTAAAATATATATAAAAATATACTATTATATTATAATTTAACTAAATAATACCAGTATCTGAATATATCGCAGGAAAGTGGGTTCGTTACATAACCTGCACCTCCACACACTCAATGGGATAAGGGCTGGTACAAAGGTACGGAGTACATGTCGTTACATGGTCTGCCAGGTACCCGCGCCCCCCCAGTGCCCCCCAAAAAAACAGGAACATCAAATGGAGACGTGGGAGCCACTGCAACCACCAAAACCCTCCAGTCTGGTCTCGCGACCCTTTTTCACGACCTTTCCAACCGCCCCCTGTGCTCCCTCGTGGCTTTCCAGCGACGCATTTCGAACCGCCTCCCTCGCGTCAACTCGGCTTGCTGGCACGCGCGTACGTCCCACGAACACACACACACCCGACAGGCTTCGTGCTTTGCCTCTCTTCCTCCTTTACCGCCCCGGGCCTGGACAGACGCTGCACCGGGAGGGGGGACTTTTTTGCCAACCATGGGCGGACAATTCTCCAAGGTCATGGGCCGGCTGTTTGGGGCCAAGGAGATGCGGCTGCTGATGCTGGGGCTCGACGCCGCGGGCAAGACGACCATTTTGTACAAGCTCAAGCTGGGGCAGGACGTGACCACCATTCCCACCGTCGGCTTCAACGTCGAGTCGGTCACGTACAAGAACGTCAAGTTTAACGTGTGGGATGTGGGTGGCCAGGATAAGATTCGTCCCTTGTGGAGGCACTACTACTCTGGTACGTTGTTTTTTTCTTTTCCTCGCTGCGCTCGATTTTGAGGGAGGCGTGTGCGTGCTGGAGGATGGGTGAATTGCGTGCGGCGATGGAGCGAAGCGAGGCCCCAAAAGGGCCCAAATAGGACTTGAGACTGACTTGGATGCAGGAACCCAGGGCTTAATCTTTGTCATCGACTCGTCGGACCGCGGCCGCATGGAGGAGGCTAAGCAGGAGCTGCACCGCATTATCAACGACCGCGAAATGAAGGACAGTTTGTTGCTGGTCTTTGCCAACAAGCAGGATCTCGATGACGGTACGTACACTTTCCTCGTGCCCACGTTAGCGCATGGGCAGTCGATTCAAGCTTGCGACTTGATCGGGCGAAGCGAACAGTCAAACCTCAGCTCTAGCCATGATCGAGCGAAGCGAGGAGCCAAAAAACTAACACGATACAGCAATGGACCCGAAACAAATCACAGAAGCCCTCGAGCTCTCCAAGATCAAAGACAAGGCCTGGTACGTCGTGCCCAGCTGCGCCACCACCGGCGAAGGCCTCCTCGAAGGCCTAGGCTGGCTGTCCACCAACGTCAAGTCCCCTCCCGCCCCGGCAAAGAAGTAAACACCACGAAGCAACTACACAAACGTCAACCATCACATCTATAGCAGCGGCCCGAGCCGGCACTCGCAGTCCGCCTTGCGCCCTGCTGTGAAGCCAAAGGCACACAGGTGCATGCCACAGCGATATGCGTCGTCACCGTGGCATTCGTCATGCCGGAAGGAAGACGATTCGCACCTGGCCCCCCAACCCACGCGATCCATCAAGCGGCGGGCTGGTCAGAACTCTGTACTCTATTCCTTGACGATTATTAATTCTTGCTTTTGCCCTTGTTTATTTGTCGCATGTAATCCGTTTGTTTCTTTTGTACGAATACCCTAGCCGGGCGGAGGAAATGTGGAATTCAAAGAGCGACATGTACCTGTTGGCAGAGAGAGCGTTGTAACGAATACATATACAATAATGGGAGGAGGAGGACCAATACAACGGTGATGAAATGGCTGTCTACTATACGTGATTTGCCGGACTCAATGTCTGAGTTTATGCTCCCATGTGAATCGTGATACGTACTGTCTGTCTTGTCTCATCAGGCATGTTTTGGAACCCATGCCGCTCTACGTATCCTGCCTTGGTGTACGTACACGTGAAACACGGCCATCACGGGCAGACAAAAGCAAATACAGCGTGGCTCTGCTTGTATCCATTTTTAATGACATGCTAACCGGCTACTATACTGGCTCCCAGTACCCGAACTATGCTACAAAATGCTTCCCATCACATGCTTTAAAATACAAGTCCTCGAGTGCAGATGGTTGGATCCCACGAGATCCGGCTGGTGGAAATTGAGAGCAGAGCACGCCCACTGACGAATAATCGCGACAGTAGCGCTGGTCGGGGATACCCCCGGTCTGAATGGGTGCCCGGTTCGTGAGAATATGCAGTGTTTTGGAGAACGTCGAGGAATGCGCTGCAAGGTCCATATGTGTGCCCGCCTGAATCTGAGCCCTTGACCATGCCTTCGGAAGAACATGGTTGGGCTGACGCAATGTGCACGAAATACGGACATCACAATCGTATTTGGATTGATCATAGTCGGTGACCGTGAAGCTCTCCTCAAACAGAGTTGCGTCGCCACCGCCGCTGGACACGGTGACTGGCCCGCATGAACGATACAAACGGCGCGTCAGATTGAATATATCGATGTAATACTCGTTACGTGCGGGCTGATCATACCCACTTCGGTCTAGTTGATGCTGTTTCTTGACTGCGGATGATTGGCGCCTTGTTTGGCCGCTATGCCGCCGTTGGGCCAGTATTGGGTCCAAATAGATCCGGCTCCTCAGGTCTAGTTGGATAGAGGTCCAGTAGAAGTTGCAGGACGATCCGTACACCGCGCCTAAGCTGGGGAATATGCGACGTTGATGCCTTACCTTGGAGCATCGACCTGGTCTGCCGTATGCTTACACTTTGAGCCCAAGGATTCCTCTTGGGGGCAATGGGCAGGGCGCTGGGACCAGGAGCAGCAGTCGCATGGCACTATGCTGGCTGCAAAGGAGCAGCGAAAACTTCTGGCGCGGTCCGAGGTGCAAAGGTAATTGTTGCGTCATCTTCCAAAGTAACTTCCCGGTCGAGAGTAGCGTTCTCGGGCGCCGGTGGTATGGATATAGTCTGTTGAAAACACACGTCTTTGAATCTCTGGTGTGCGAATATCTCAGTACATGATTGACCAATGTCTTGTAACCCTGTCCGTGGTAAAGCATATGTATTGGCTGCGCAGACCGCCTCACCCTCTAGGGCCCCCGGTGACTTGTCGCCTTGTTGATTTCGCCTTCTATCATTATCCAATGGCAAGCCCTACTCCTTGACACGTTTAGGAGGTCGCAGCAAGGAGTCATCTGGTAACCCGCTCCTCTTGGTGCCTGGGAGACTGCTTGTGCGAATGTCGTTGTCATCTTGACTGACTCTCCGATGGGGATATTCCACCTTGAGACCCTCAAAAGCGTTGGTATTGACACGGTCGCCGGTAGTGAAGAATGTAGACTGAAGTGCCTGTGCAGCCGTGAGTCGTTTGGTGGGATCGTATTCCAATAGTCCAGCGAGGAGCTTGTATCCCTCGGCGCCGAGGGATGTCAATGACGGACCCGATGACGCGCTCTGAGGAGCGTTAGAAATGGTGTTGTAGTACCATTTTTCGAGGTTGGACGTGGAACTGCTGCTGGAGGAATGGCTGTGGTGTTGGTGATGATGGTGGTGGTGGCTGTGGTGAGAGGGCGGTGATTGCAATGTGTTGAGTTGGTTAAACTCTGGCATCATGGGCAGCAGCGGCCACCTGCTGCGGGTGGGAATCCCCATGATGTCGACAATTTTCTGCATTTGGTTCCTCTGAAAGGGGACCGTCTTCTTACTGTCCATCTTTGCCTCCTCGCCCTTAAAGATGGGGCGAAGAGAAAGCAGTTCTGCGAAAATGCAACCCACGGCCCACAGATCAATGGCTGGTGTATAGTGGTATGAGCCGAGTATCAGCTCTGGCGCCCGGTACCAGATGGTGACAACGACCTTGTCACCGCTGAATAACGAGTGCAGCGGCTTGTCGAATCGCCTGGCCAGACCCAAATCTCCAATCTTGACCTCCCCACCGGAAGTGACCATGATGTTGGCAGGTTTCAAATCACGATGCAGGACCCAGTTGGTGTGCAGGTACTGGCACCCGTTGAGCAGTTGAAACATGATGCTCTTGATGGTGGCCGGGGGAATAGGATGCCGGGGTTGCTGGGTGTGGTGGTGGATGATTTGCAACAAATCGTGCTCGGCGTACTCGAAAACCATGAAGATGCACTTGTCCTCGAGGAGCGTCTCCACGAGGCGGATGACGTTGTGGTGGCGAAGTTCGCTGCAGAGGCTCATTTCTCGAATGGCACTTTGCGAAATACCCGTGTAGCTGATCTGCTCGCCCTCCTTGTCGGGCTTGAACTTCTTGATGGCGACCTCCTGGCCGGCGGTGGCACTGCTGGAAGAGGCTCCTGACGGGGTGGTTGTCGTACGAACAGCTACGGTACTGACACGGCTGACGGCTTTATACACACGGCCATATGTGCCACTGCTGATGAATCCGACGATTCTGTACCGGTCCATGACCCGGAGCCGGGGATGGAAGGCTCCGGGGCGGTCATGGGTATCTGCATAGCGATGGTGAGCTGAGGATGAGCTAAACGGGTGCGAAGACGCCGAGGACGGGTGGTGGAACTGCGGTCCATTCCGCATTCGCAGAGGCATGGTGCTTGACGGTGGACAATGCAGAAAGGGAGGGGGGAAAGGGCCAAGTGCGAGGGAGGGCAAGAGAAGGAGAAGATATCAACGGTGGTTGAGGTATGGAGTCGGAACCGTAGTGCCGAAGACGGCCCAGGCGTGCCTCGACGCGGAGACTCTTTTTTCCCGGTTCCTCACTCACGACAAAGAGGGACGGTGACAAGCTCGGGGCCAGACCAGGCGCATGGGAATGTACATGGACACAACAGAACGCAGAGCGCAAAGTAACGGACTGGAAGTTCAACAAAGGCTCGAGGCGCCGAGGGAAATCGGCCTGAATGGGGCAAAATGCCAAAATAGCCAAGCGGTCTGGCTCCCCGAGTCTCAAGATGCCACTTCTCACTTCTCCCGCAACTCGGCCCAACGAACAGACAACGCCCAGACAAGAGCCGCCCGGCCCGAGAATCCCCCCCCAGCCGTGTTTTAATTTTTAATTTTTAATTTTTTAATTTTGGCTTCTTGCCTTTGCGCCCTTGCGCTTGCAATGTCGGCTACTTTCTCTCGCCCAACGCCACAGGCATGGGGCCAGCGGAGCAACAGACGCCATGAATTGTGGGCAAATGGAGATGGAGACGGAGCCCGTAGACAGACGACGCGGAGAAATGAATCTGTTTCAACGTACCTGCAAATGCATCCTGGACACTCCGTTTAAGGGACTGGTTTCTACTGATGGCATTGGCGTTTGGGCCAGTGGGCGGGTTCGTCAGGCTCATGCCGCCGATGCAACGCCGGGTGGCGGGAAGCAACAAGGACAGAACGGGCACGTACGACTCGCCCTCGCCGGCTACTGTCGTCCTCGGGACGCTTCGAGTCAGGACGCGTTGAGCAGAACGGGATCAAAAGGCCAGACGAGCAGTGTGTCGAACAGAAGTTGCCGGATGCCGCCGCGGCGCGACCATTCGCGATGGCACAAGCGGCGATGGTATTCCAGCCTCAGCCAAGCTGGCGCCGGGGTGCTCGCACGAGCCTGACCGACCGGGTGCTTCCAAAAGCGATGAAACAGTATATCGTACAAAGGCTATTGTGCCGTGCGCGTGCCGTGCCGTGACGAATGACGAGCGGCCAGTGGCGAGCGGCGAATCAATCACGGCCTTTGCTGGCGCATACCCGACGATCGAGTCGCTTCAGAGTCAAGTGTGAATAATAGACTTGTATCAATGGCTCATTTGCTTGTTGGCTTGCCAGGGTTCGGGCGTCGACAGCGGAGGCGGCCATGGATCCCCGATCCAGGCGTGGAGATGAGACGGCACGACGGTGCTGCGCGTCGGCCCAAGTGGAACTGTCTCTGTCGCGAATCTGGACCGATTTGCCACCTCTGTATCATGAGAAGGAAGTTTTGACAATCGACATGCGCGATGCGACAGCAAGCTGTCTCGGTGTGGCAGGGCCAGCTTTGCCGAATGCCCCCGTCGCATGCTAAAAGCAACAAGTGCCGACCAATATGACTAAGCAGCCGCGCCAAGAAATGCACGACATCCTCGACTGCACTGCCGAGAACCGAGTGCATTTGAACATTCAACCATGTTCGACGTCTGAACTTGATACCACCTTGAGCTTCAACTCGTCCATACGGCACCACATAACTCTCGGTTGACATCAATGCCTTGACCAAGCCTGGTATTGGCTACACAGCAGCCTACATGACGCACCACACATGCACTTTACGCAGTCAATCAACTTTCCCACCCAGGGCCAAGTTTATTGCGCTATGTAACGAATCAACTCATCATGAGCCGCCATACAACCAATTCTACTATTGCTTCGCCAAATGATGACTTTTTTTTTCCTTACCTTATCGCGGGCCTAGCTTCTCCAGCACCCGAGGCCCTTGTTCATCCCACTCCGCCTTGGTCACCCACATGCTCTCCTTGTCAGCCATAATGTTTGCCAACACCGCACCGCCAAGGAACACCATGTGTCTTCTCCTTGGCGGGTCTTCTATCCGCACCTTGAACTTGCCCAGCCTCTCGGGGTTGCCCTGCAGAGCCCTCGTAAGCCACAGCTGCTTCAGCTCCTTTTCCAGCCTTGACGGCAGGCCGGGGTACATGCTGCTGCCTCCTGACAGGACAATGGCCTTGAACAGAGAAGCGCGAATGTCCACATCGGCCGACTGGATCGTGTTGAACAGAAACTCGCCCAGCCCGGGGGATTCGCTATCCACAAGATGAGGCTGAAACAGGCATTCGGGAGCTTCGAATCGCTCGCTGCCCACTCGAATAACACGCCCGTCGGGCAGGGTATAATTCTCCACAAGGACCGTAGTGTCTTCGCTCAGCCGCTTGTCTAGTTCCAGGTCGTATGACACGTAGCACAGCTTCTCCTTGATCTGTCGGACAGTTTCGAAATCTGCCGTCCGGTTCAGAGCGTAGCCGCGGCGGAGGAGCAGCTTGATGAGGTTGCGGGTCACGTCGCGGCCGGCCACGTCTAATCTCTTGGTGAGGTGGTTGAGCACAACCGACTCGTACACTGGAACAATGTGTGTAACGCCGTCTCCCGAGTCGACAACGACACCCGAGCTCAGTCCTACATTGCAGAGTCAGTAAAAACACGAGAGAAATTAAACCTCCCCTCTCCCGCACGTAGCCTTCATCGCATCAGCACGACGTACCCTGTGCGTACAGGGCCAAAACGGCCTGAATAGCCACGTAGACGCCCCCAAACCCGTACCGGTCAAACATGACCTCGCACATTTGCTCTCTGTTCTTCAGCGGGTTCATCGGCGGCTCCGTCAGCAGAATCTTCTGCCCATTCGTGTCCACCTTGAGCTTCTCGTAGAAGGTGTAGTCCCACAGGTGCTGCATATCGTCCCACTTCTTGACGATGCCGTTTTCCATGGGGTAGCTGATCTGGAGCATGGTACGGGCCGCGGCCGCCTCGTCGCCGCACATGATGTCCTTGATGACGACATTGCTGTCGGTCCGTTCTTCCGATCGTAGAATGGGCCGGCCCACGATGGAGGGGAACTGGTGCTCGGGGAAGTTTTGTGCGGCATATCCGACCTTGAGGAAGCCGGTGCCGCCGTCGAGGACTGGCGTGCGGAGTAACTTGCGTTAGCTGCGGCTTGCTTTCCCCAGGAGAGCTGAGCTTCGTCGTAGCAGGCCGGACGTGCTCGTGGTTGGCGAAAACAGGAGGGAGAACGTACCAATGGGTGGAGTGTTGGCCATCTTCGCGACAGCTCAACCGTAGGACGGGGTGTTGACGAGGCCAAAGCTAGGGAGTTGGTGGTTGTGGGCAGCTCGAAGTGCCCGGGATGGAGATACGTCGTCAGCACCCAGGATAGTGGGGGTTTTCGAGCCGATTGTCGTCAGAGGTGGCTCAGCAACAACCAGACGGGTCACGTGACATCCCTGCGAGTGACATCCCGGGCAGCGTGAGTGTTTGAGATTATGAGCTACAAATAAGCCTGGGCAAGTTTGTTGACTAGAGTTTGCACAGCAGATACTTTGCAAGATTTGGAACAAGATACTCTACTTTTCCAACAATGGATTCAGAATCGCCCCCCCAGATGCGCATACTGCTCCTCAACCCCAATTCCTCCGAGGCCATGACCAGAGGGATGGTCCAGGCTGCCAAATCCACACCCGTATCCAATGTATGAATGCTACCGACACATAAAAATGCGGACGGACAGGGGACATGCTGACTCTCGCCGAGTCTGTAGAGATACACTCCATGACAGCCAGCTCCAGAGCTCCACCGAGCATCGACAACAGTGAAGACATCCAAGCCAGCACAAAAGTCGTCCTGAGCGAGCTGCCAGCCGCAGATGCTGCCCGCAATAACTGGGATGCCATCCTGGTGGCCTGTTTCAGCGTCCACACCCTCGTTCCAGAGCTGTCAAATTGGTTTGACGGGCCGGTGACGGGCATTTTCGAAGCCAGCATCTTGACTGCCATGTCTCTGCTGCGGCCCGGTGAGCAGTGGGGCATCGTGACAACGGGAAAGTTTTGGGAGAAACATCTCTCCGATGGCGTTTACGAATTCCTGGGCGTCGATGCAGCAGGCCGCAGTACCAAGTTTGCTGGTGTGGCCTCGTCGGGCCTGACGGCAGGCGACTTCCATACCGTCCCACCGGAAGAGGTAAAGACGAAATTGAGCCTGGCCACCAAAGGCCTCCTTGAATCGGGCAACATTGCTTGTGTCGTCATGGGCTGCGGGGGCATGGCAGGGCTGGAGGACATTATTCGGTCCACCGCAAAGGATGTGTACGGGGAGAAGAGAGCCGGGGAGCTGTACATTGTGGATGGGGTCAAGACAGGTATTATGCAACTGCATCAGAGCATAAATGCCGCAAAAACCTTTAAATAGACGCTATACTAGAAGTTTTGGAATACAAAATGAACGTCATCAGTCGCTGAAAGGAAAAAAAAAAAAGAAAAAACGCTGATGTCTCGATTAATCCAAACGGCGTGTTCGTCCCCAAACCTCATCGGCATCCTTCTTCCCCCTCGTCTCAGGTACCCGAGCACCGACGAACAAGGCACCCAGCGCAGCCAGCCCGGCAAAGAGGAAGTACACCCATCCAGCTCCGCCAAACGCCTTGTTCAATGCGGTGTTGATAATGGGGAAGAATTGAGCCACGATGAATGTTGCAATGTAATTGGCGGCCAGGCACCAGCTCTGGGTTGCTCCAACAGCCTCCTGTCCCACGAGCTCTGACGCCATGATGAAGGGCACTGGACCAAGGCCGACGGCGAAGAAGGCTACAAAGGCAAGAACAGAAATTGCTGATAGGACCTTGGCACCAAACACGATGGAGAGCGCCAAGGCTAGCGAGCTCGAACCTTGTCCCACGATGGAGATGAGTAAACACCTCTTGCGGCCCAGACGATCCGGCAACGGGGCACAAGCAATGGTCATGCCGAGATTGACGGCCGAGATGATGATGGTGAGCTTTGCGGAAGAAACCGGGAGCAAATCGGCGAGCAGGGAAACAGAATACATGATGATGGAATTGATGCCGCAAAACTGCTGCGTTATCATGATTCCGACGACGGCAATAATGGCTGGCCGTGTTTTTGGGTCCTTGACAACCTCCATGAAACCCATGTGTCGTGTCGAGCCAGAGGTGGTAGGAGACAGTGGCGCGGTTCCGTCAGTCTGACCCAAAAGACCTTCTTCCTCTGCCTCTCGACCGGATGCGGCACCACTACCGCCACCGGCTCCCCAATGTGAGGTTTCTTCGTGGATATTGAATCCGCTCCCCCGAATGCGCTGCAGCGTCATCTTGGCCTTGGTAGGGTCGCCATGCGCAGCTAGCCAGGCAGGGCTTTCGGGAACGACGAATAAGCCAAGAAACTGGGTCGTGGCGATGCAAACACCAATACCAAGAACCCATCTCCAGGCGTGGCCGTAGCTCAAAAAGTACCCCAAGGTCTGGGTGACGATAATGCCAATATTGATGGAAACTTGGGTCATGGCGCCGAATAGCCCTCGCTCATCGGGGGGAGAAATCTCGCTGATGTAGAGGGGCACGATGACTGTGGAAGCTCCGGCTCCAAGACCCGAAACAAGACGGCCAACAGACATGGCGACGACGCTGCCGGCCAAGGCCTCGACGGCAGCGCCCACAATGTACAGCAAAGCCGTCGTTCTCATTGCAGGGAGTCGCCCCCGCCTGGAGGCAAACGGTCCAGCTGCCAGGGCGCCAGCGAGACCTCCGACGGTGAAGATGGAAGAGACGGTAGCAAAGGCGGCTTCGCTCATGGGGATACATTCTGGTAGCCAGCCAGGAGACCCTCCGGTCCTGTCAGCTTTGCCAGCAGCCTCCTTGATCCAGCCGGCAACGCGAGAGGCAGTGGAGATTGATTTTTTCTGACAGGTAATGACATCTTGAGGGGCGTTGAGTTCGGCCTGGGAATGGTTAGTTGGGTGGTCAAAGAGCTGTCATGATGGCGTCTCTGGAGGAGTGGCCACAGCTGTCAACAGTCGTGGGGTCGACACTTACTAGATGAAAGCCAAACTGCAGAGATGCAAGGGTGGCGACGACGATGAGTACTATCAGATAAGCGGTGATATCGTGTAGGCACTGCCGGATGCCGCGTCCCGCCATTGTCAGTCGTGAGAATGGAGGTGATGGTGATGATGGTGATGATGATGATGGAGATGATGGACGCGATGCATGTGGGCACGGTTAAGTGTAGTGGGCCTCCCGATGTCGCTAGTCAAGGGGGCCCACTAATTACTTAAACTGGACCAAGTATCGACAGGCATTGCGAGTCCAGACTCCAGACGTCTGGACGACATCTGCCATCTGGGCCCTTCAAAGTTGCCTGGCAGCCATTGCGCGCCAAAGAGTCCATCACTTGTCACAAGACAGCTCATCACAATCATAGGCCAACAGGAATGCCTCCATTCTGTGGCCACGGAAAAGATGTGAATTCGGTCCAACTAGCAATAACCACCACAGCGGGTTGGTGGCGAAACTGGCGCGGCACTCATATCATAGTGCCATCGATGGGCAGACGGTCTATTTTTCTGGCCTCTTACTGTTCTTGGATTGTTAAAGCACAATACTGTGTTATCAAATGTTACGCTTGCACGATACTTGTATCATGCTTGTTCTCGACTTTGAATTTGTGTTGCAGGGACTTGACACAATGTTGTACTTGAGAAAAAATGACAAAACCATGGATGATACGTACCACCAAGTCGCGCTACCCTCTTCAAAGTTTATCTTGACGAGGTGGTGACAAGAAGCTTGTTGGCCTTGACGGCGGCCTTGACGAACAAACAGAGTGCTGCGTCGGCAAGCCACTCGTGCGCCATCTCTCCCCATCTTTAACAACTCAACATTGTCCATTAAATTTAAAATTTACGGTACGAGGCAGCACTAGACCGTATCGCATTTTGGCACGGTGCTATCTGGAACAGGCGAGGCGAACCAGGCGCAGACAAAATTAAAGGTTTACGACTAACACCATGTCAACCTAGATCAAGTTACCACGGTCAAGCTTAAAAACGCCACACCCAAGGGTAGAAAATCCAACACCAAGTATAAAACATTATTGGCCCTCCCTGAGAAAAGTTCCTCAAACACCGCTCAGAGACCAGCACTTGGTTGCGACAAGACCGAAAATTGTGGTCGATTATTCAACGACATCAGTCTCATCCACAGAAACGAAAGTCATATCGCACCTCTACCTGACCAACATGAGGTCATCGCTAGATCCCCCCCCTCCTCCTTTTACTTCTCCTTCTTTAACTTCTCCTCCTTCTTCTTCTCCTTCTCCTCCTCCTCCTCCCTATACCAACTCTAATCACATCAACGGCAAATACAATGCCCATCAAGACTCCGAGTTCAAGGGTGGATATGTAGACATCAGAATGCAAAAAGACGTCAACTTTTGCCCAGAGAAAGGGGACATCGAAAAGATTCACAAGGATGGACCCTGGATGGCAGCGATAATCTTCCGCGTTAAGGACCTGCCAGCAGCTATGAAGCAAGGCCTGTATTGCTCGCAAGACAATGTGGATCTCAGTGGCTGCTGCTTTTACGATGATTTACAATCAATGCCGCCAGCGTTTCAAGATTGGGGGCTAGGGCTTCAAGATTGGGGCTTCACACATGCTCGCAGGTTCCAGCGTATTGACCTAGCTGAGAATCCCCAGTGGAAGGCAACATTATTTGTCGTCTCACGTGGAATCAAGCCCCTTTGTCGATTTCGCATCCAGACTCTCTCAGTTAATAATGTTCTTGGTGCGGCTGCTTTTACTCGAGACGAAAAATTGGCCTATATGTATAATCGAGCGGAGCCTGAGCGAAATTTTAATGCAATCTACGACGATATGCCGCTCCGTGGCTGGTGGCCGTGGCCTAAGAATTCAAGTGTCTCGGACGACTAAGAAACCTCCCGATTGGCAAGATTCAAGACTATGCTTGAGGGAAGTGGCTATTGACCGGCACGCGTTCGGGATAGATGGCATACCAGAGGAAGTCTACTGAATTGAGGCTAGTATATGTTTTCAAGTGGTGAATACTAGACTCAGAAGTTGGATTTAATAAACCAGACTTGAAAAGTAAATCTTTGCCACGGATAAAGACGCTGCCGCAAGTTGTCGCCCAGTCCCAGCAACCATTCCAGCACGATGTAATTAGGGTTAGGGTGAGGGTCAACCCTAGAATCTCTACCAGCTACTAGGGGACTAGCATAGCTGGTATTTCATCCCGGCCTATAGCTAGACAGTTGTTTATTGTCAAATTCTGGTTCATCGCAGGTGGACATGCCTGGAAACAAGGGGCATCTTTTTGCCATGTGGAGAAACTTCAATCACCTCTGCTCGGGAATTGCCGTATAATTCCACCAGACACTTTGCCGGGGAAATGAATAGCCTCTCTCATTTGCTGTCATTTGACACCCTGCCAAGTGCGGGGCTTGACCCCCGGACCTGTTGCATGTACACGAGGTCATCCGTCGCTAGTCAGAGCAAAGCTGTTTGCCGTGGTTCATCAGATGCCGTGCCTCCTTTTCGACAACGACTCATGCCTTCATCGGCCACCCAGTCAAGTTCCGTTTCAGAAGAGTTGTAATGCCGATCCAGACGTCTAGCCCACCAATCGCCTCCCGCCAGGGCACAAGGCCATGGCGCCGTTCTGGTCGTGGAGGTGTGAGAGCCAGCATCTCTCGACCCAAGCCCTGGCTGAAATAACGCCATCTCCAGCCAACACCACCAATCACGTCCAGTCGCCAGGAATACGGATATCGATTCTTCGCTGATCCCCAGCCGACGAAGGTGAATTGCTTGGCGGGCTTGCTCTTTGTGCTGGGTGCGCCAACCCCCCTACGATTTACGGCGTTTAAGCTGTCCCTGGATATGGTAAAGTAATGTATGGTGGACGATATTTACATATCTTGACGTATATACTAATATATTATAATATATTGCAACATGAATTAATAGGTATCATGATGCATAGTGTACCTAGCAATAAGAGTCATCCCGCCGAGCAATTCACCGGCCATAGCACGCTGCGTGTGCAGAGTGCCTGGATGCAGACATGAGTGGCAACGCTTCCCATGGCCTTCACCTCTTACAGGACCTTGGCTGAGCCAAGAACTCCTTTGTTCCCACTGTTATTAGCCGCTGACGAGGTCTGCACTGTATTTGCAGGGTCACCGAGTCAAAGAGAAACCACGAGGCTTCTTGTCCACGCAGCCACAACGCAAACGCCACGACGTTGGAGAAAGGCCCCCTTCGGATCGGCGCTAGACACGAACAGCTTCCGATGGTATGGGGCGTCTGATGTCACTGGATATATATCGTCGTCTCTAACCTCCAAGCGCTTGAGTTTGCGAAACCTCAAGCCGTCTTATTAGAGACAGAGCAAGCGCAGGCTTCTGGCCTGATGAATAGCAACACCTCATTGTCTCGTGTTTCCATATTCCACAAGCATGACTAGATTGACGGTGCTTCTCACAGCTCCGCTACTGCTGTTAAGTCAGCAGGGTGCATCGGTGCTAGTTCCAGATTCCTTCTCTGACACCATATCAAGACTACCAACTTGTGCTGTGAGTAGCTTGCCCACCAATCGTAGTGTTTCCGACAGCTTACCATGGTGTAATCGCTAATCAAGAATATATGAAACTAGCTGGGTTGCTTGATTCCCGCCGTCTCCAACTCGACCTGTTCCATCGCAGATGCTGCTTGTATTTGTGCCACGGCCAACTACGACCTCATTCAGGGGCTGGCTACGCCGTGTATCCTGAAATCGTGTAGCCCTCCCGAGGCTTTATGTAACTACCTATGCCCCAGATCTTTGGTTCTCATTGTCGCACTAATACCACTGATAGTCACCAAGAACCTCACTGAGTCGGCATGCGGCCATCCTACGAGGGACAGGTCTTCCGAATATAGTGCCTTGGCCATCTCCGTGGGCGTCACGTCTAGCATTTTTGTTGGAGTCCGCATCATATACAAGGTATTATTCTGCCATAACAACAGACTAGGTTACGATGATTGGGCCATTCTCGTGGCATTTCTGGTTAATGTACCCAGCATAACTATCAATGTTCACGGCTTAGCCGCCTATGGACTCGGCAGAGACATCTGGACCCTGAGTCCAGACGACATAATTACCTTTATCGAGTTCTTTCTCATTGACGAGGTTCTCTACTTGGCCATGGTATCGCTCGTAAAGTTGAGCCTGTCACTGTTCTATCTCCGCATCTTTCCGGGGACGACTATCCGGCGGCTGCTATGGGCAACAGCTCTTTTTAATGTCGCCTTTGGTATCGCGTTCGTTACCACGGCCATCTTTCAGTGCACGCCAATCAGCTACACATGGACCCAGCACATTGACCACTTGCTGCCTGGCCACTGTATCGATCGCAATGTTTGGGGATGGAGCAACGGCGCCTTGAGCATCGCCCTCGACGCTTGGATGATACTCATCCCGCTTAGTCAAGTGCCACGACTTAAACTGCATTGGAAACAAAAGGTGGGAGTTGCCATCATGTTCTTCATGGGGACCTTGTAAGTATCTCTACCTGCGCGCCAACTGCCTTCGTCTGTTGACATTTGTGTTTCTCAAACTCAGCATCACCGTAATATCCATCTTACGACTGCATACGCTCATTTATTTTGACAGCTCAACAAATCCAACTTGGGACGTGTGGATTGTTGTCTGGTGGTCGACGATAGAAATCGACGTCGGCATAATATGCACCTGTCTGCCGAGCATTCGTCTGATTCTGGTGCGCATGTGGCCGCGACATTTTACCCATGAGTCGAGATATTTAAGACATGGAACGCCTCCTGCTGGCCAGGAAGCCTTGAATACGGGCAAGAGCCTTCCGCAATCAAGTATTGATATTCTTTTGGACGACTGTAGAGTGTAGATGCCGTAATGAGACTTCTCCTTACGTATGTGTTTAGCATGTTTACATGGTGAGAGAGTGCGACTATCATGATCCACCTTTTGATGGATTCCCCAGAGACCAACATGATTCTGGAGGAATACATGGCAAGGGGATCAATAATAAGGTTACATTTTCTTTCTACAAAGAGATGAAACCAGGGTCATGCAACTGCCCCTGGCGATGGGGGTTGCCGTCACCATTTCGAATGCCGAAACTGACCTTGTCTGATGCCGACGGCGGACGCTGATTCTTGCCGCATTTCTTTTCCGGATCGTCCCAAAACGGCGGGAGTTTAACGGGAGTAGATACGGGGTTATACGGGACAACTGCTACGGAGCGGCATTATCAACACTTCTAGGTTATCAGTTATTGGTCATTGCAAGTAGTAAAGAGCGGGCTTGTCCTGGGCAATAAGCCTATCCAGATAGGAATTAGTGTAATTTCATCTATACGGCTACTACGTATATAATAAGATTTAGCCGAGTAAACTATAATAGCTTTAGCAGGGCGCTGGCGTGCAGCTTTTAAGGCTTTCCAGACTAATTCTGCGATAACAGTATTATCCGCGGATATAAGTACTGCTAAGGCAGGACAAATTTACCTTTACAAGTTAAAAAGCTAATAACCTAGAATATAATTAAAATTTTAATTTAAGTTTTAATAAAATAAAATATAAAAACCCACCCTTTATAATAAAGGGGAAAACTATAATATAAAGCTATTTTTTATTAACTAGCTTTATAATATTTTTCTTAATTTTTTCTTTTATT